CTCTGCTGCTGGAGACAAAGCAGAACCGCTTTGGGGAGGAAACAGCTGTTCCCAGGCCCCAAACCCAGCAGAAACTGGATTCCATCTGTATTCACACTCATCCCCACCATCATGCACTTGTGTTCGGTAGCTCTGCAAGTATTCAGGGGATGGGGTTTAGATAACTGTGGGATTTGCACATGGAAAGGATTATTTGGCAGAGTATGCCTTAGCTTCCTTCAGCTGAGGTTTGGGGCAGCACAGAGCACATGATCCAGGCAATCATGGGACATGGGGCAATAAAAGTGGAGTGATGGCTTGCAAACAACTCAAAATAGCCAAGTGTGCCCATTATAATACTAATTATAATCACATTTAAAGCAAAGTGAACTTCTGCTTCCCCAGAAGCTTTAATGAGGCCACATTTCCCTTGCCAGCTGCTGGCTGTGTGCTACAAGCTGTGCTCCAGCCAGGCCCTGGGAACACAAAACACAGCTGGGCTCCCACCCCTGCTTAGTGTGTATGTGCAGGGCCAGGAGATGGATTTGATGATCCATGTGAGTCCCTTCCAACTCAGAATATTCTGTGATTCTATGAATCTATTTGGATGAGGAGAGAGTGCCCTTAGCAAAGAGATGTGCTGGCCACATGTAACATCTGACCCACGTGGGAGTCAAGAAATACTCATCCTCAGTATCCCGAGAGTTATCACAGACTGAGCATGGTTTGGAGAGAGGAGGCTCACAGAAAATAGGGTTAAGAGGTGTTAAAGGCCTGAGAGAAGCCACTAATCTGAGGAACCACAGAGGTGGAGATGCCATTCAGTGTGCTCACAGGTGGCTCACCTTTACACAGAACTCCTCAGGCCATATCTGACACCAGGTGAGCTGTCGTTGGAGCCAGTGGACCTTTCTGGCTGTTCCTCCAGCTGCAGATCCAGCTTGGTGACTCTTTCATTTTCATGCCAATGTCCTTGTTTGCCTTTATGTCCTGAGCACATATTTAGGTGGCACTACAGTGTTGTGGTCTCCCTAGCACTGAAGTTAATCCAGACCAGTGCCTACACCTTGACCCTGGGTAGGCAGCGAACACCTTAGTGTATCCCCAGGGATGGCAGCAGGCAGGGACAGTCATGGTCCTACTGCTTCCCCCAAACAGGGACGAGAGATTTGTCATGGACTACACACTGGAGACCAGCCAGCTGAAGGAGAAGCTGCTGAAAACCATCTACAGCCTCCAGCTGAAGTCATTTGCCACTCTCCAGACAGCCAGCCCACTGCTGAGCAGCCAGCCCGGGGTGGGCATGGTGACACAGCACCAAGTCCACCAGCTGGCAGATAAGGCCAAAAGTCTGTGTGGAGATCTGGACAACATCAAGAACCTCCTCCACTATTGCCAGGACAACCTGATCCGGCAAATCTCCAACCCCACCGGCAGCCACTATGGGGGTGTCCGTGGAATCCACTGCTCCCTGGATGGTTCCATCTACCTGACAGCCGAGAATGCTCCCTGGGTCCACGTCCTCTCCAGCACAGGCCACACGCTGCAGGCCCTGCCCTGCCAGCAAAAGGAGAAGGGCACTTTCTTGCCAGAAGATGTGACTGTGACTCGGACGGGAATGGTGGCTGTGGCCGACATGGTAAATGAAGCCATCTGGGCCTTCAACCCTCACACCAGCCTCTCCAAGAGGGAATGGATAAGGATCAGAAAGGTTGGCTCCCCCAGGGGCATTGGAGTCGACTCCATGGGCAGGATCTTGGTGGCAGACTATGCCCAAGGCCAAGTGCACAGCTTTGCTCTGGACCACACCTTCAAGACACTCAACGTCCACTCAGTCCCTGAGCTGCAGGGGCCACGTTACATCAGCCCAGCGCCCAACGGGGGCTTTGTGGTGAGCGAGGAGTGTGGGGACGTCAAGGTCTTCACGAGCAGCCACAAGCTGCTCTGCTCCCTCAGCAGCAAATACGGACACCAGTTTGGCAACCCCGCTGGGGTGTGTGTGGATAGGGATGGCAGCATCCTGGTGGCAGACGAGCAGCGCCGGACAGTCCACCTGTTCCCACAGCACGGGGCTCCCGTGTGCCTGGTGTCCACGGGGCTGTGGAGGCCTGCTGGCTTGGCTTGCTCCTCCTTCGGGCACCTCTTGGTGGCAGACGCAGGGGAGAACTGTGTCAAAGTCTTTAAGTACTGTGTGAGACCCCCTTACAACCCCACCAGCCCTGGGGCACCGTGTGGTCACCCCAACCGAACAGCAGGCAGGGGAGGGAGGATGGCTCCACTGCAGCCCCGCTGAGCTGTGGGTCTGCTGACAGCTGTGAGCTCCATCTCATTTACACAGAATCATATCATGGAATCGTGGAATGTTTTGGGTTGGAAGGGATCTTAAAGCTCATCTCGTTCCAATCTCTCTGACATGGGCAGGGATACCTTCCACTAGACCAGGTTACTCCAAGTTCCATCCAACCTGGTCTTGAACGCCTCCAAGGATGCAGGGCATTGCCCCAGAACTGACCTTCTGATGTCCCCAACTTCTCCAGATGGCAGAAGCAAGGACTAGACCAACTCTGGAGTAACTAAACCAATACCAGAATAGCCAAAGGATGACTAAGCTACTCAGAACTGGCCACGAGTTAGTGCCTTGGCAAATTTATCACCACACCCTTGAATCCTTGTGTGTTTTTGCAAAGCTAATATGAATATTTTTCTTCCCCACGCACTGTTTTGGTGTGCCATGGTTCCACCTTCCTGATGCCAGAGTATGACCAGGGTGGCAAGGCCAGAGCTGGCAGCCATGGCCTATCAGAGAAACATGGAATGGTTTGATTTGGGAGATATCTTAAAGCCCATCTCATTCCAGCCCCTGCCATGGGCAGGGACACCTTCCACTAGACCAGGTTTCTCTAAGCCCCATCCAGCCTGGCATGGCTGAGACAACTTCTCTGTACTAACTCACCCCCGGGATATTAGGAAAAGTTTTGGAATCACAGAATGGCATGCTGGATCTGTAGCAGGCTTCAGGAGAATGGTAGGATGAAGGGAACTCCTTCTGTGCTGCATTCCTGACCTCTACAGGGAAGCAACAACCACTGCACAGAGTAAATTCCACATGGGAAAGTGGAACTGCTCACACTGCCCCTGTCCCGGGGCTGGGCTGCCTGTTATCCCCTGGGGAGGAGGGCTCGGAGCCACTGCCCTTATCGGCAGAGGCCAGGGAGAGGCAGGCAGGGTGTGGTGGCACAGGGGAAGGTGGGCAGGGTGTGGTGGCACAGGGAAGGGCGTTTTCCTCTCCCCTCTGCAGCCCTCAGTGTGGGCATGGTGCTGAACAGCTCCTTGGCCTCTACTGATGTCCAAGAGCTGAGTCCAGTCACCACCTCTCACCCCAAACGATCCCTAGAGAGGGCTTTGCTCCTTCCTGGCCTTGGAACAAGCACTGAAGATGATGGATACCGCGTGATGCCCTCCCAGACCCCTCTCCCTGTAGAACGAGGCAGCCCCAGAGCTAACCCAGCGATAGGGAAGGGGCCTGTCTGTGTGGTCTGCAGGTACAAGGATGAGCCTGTCCCTCCCCAGGGAGCTGAGCTCCCGGAAAACCAAAGTTTCCCCACCTTATTTCCAATTCTGTGACGCTTAACAACAAAAATAACCCCCCAAAACCTCTTCTCTAGCTCACCCCCACCTCCACACCTGCTCCATGTGGGACCCCCTCACAGTGCCCAGAGTCTTCCCAAGCTTGCTGGCCCCAACCCACCAGGGGACACAGGAGGGAAGCTCCTGGGCACCCATCTGCACCCATGGGCCTCTGGCAGGCCAGGGGGCTGTGGAGGTGGGAGGGATGGGGGTCAAGAGGTCCTGTCAGGACAGGTGAGCCCCTGGCTTGTGGGAGCGGGGGATAATAGGGTCCCATAGGGATGGACAAGTCCCTGGCCTTTGGGATGAGGGACAACAGGGTTCTTGAGGAAAGGTGAGTCCTTGGACTTTGGGGATGAGGGTGAATGGGGTCCCGCTTGGCAAGGCAAGTCCCTGGTCCTTAGAGATGGAAGACAAGGGGGTCCCATGAGGACAGACAAACCTCTGGCCTCTGGGGACTTGGGACAGCACAGTCCTGTGCAGACAGGCGAGTCCCTGGACTCTGGGGATGGTGGACATCAGGGTCCACATTAGAAAGGCAAGTCCTTCGCCTGTGGGATGGGAACAACAAGATCCCATGAGGACAGGAGATCCCTGTGGGATGGGGGGCAGTGGGGTCTTGTGAGGACAGGTGAGTCCCTGGACTTTTGGAACAGAGGACAAACGGGTCCTGGTGAGGACAGGTAAGTCCCTTGGCCTTGGGATGGTGGGGAATGGGGTCCCATGGGGACACGCGAGCCCCTGGCCCCGCTCCAGGGTAGCACGGGCACACGGACTGCCCTTATCGCCCGTCCCAGGCGGCCCCGCCGCTCCCCGGCCGGGCAAAGGCGCCGTGAGGAGCGCGGGGAGCGGCGGGACCGGGCCGGGCCCTCCCAGCGGGCACAGGGAGAGGAGCCGGCACAGCCGAGCCCTCACAGCCCTCACGGGGAGCGGGCACAGCCGGGCCCCGAGCGCCTCGGAACGCGGGCTGCGGGCGGCGGCGGCGGCCGGGCCCTCCCGGCGCGGCTCCCGCGTCTCCGGGCAACGCGGGCGGAAGCGGCGGCGCCGGCGGGCGGTAGGAGCGGAGCGGAGCGAGGCAGGCCCGGCCGGGCCGGGGGCTGTGCGGGGAACGGGGGAGCCGCGGGCGGGGGGCGCTGCTGGGCCCGCACGCCAGCACAGACACTGAGGGGCTGGAGCGTGTGCAGGGAAGGGAACGGAGCTGGGAAGGGGCTGGAGCAGCAGGAGCAGCTGAGGGAGCTGGGGGGCTCAGCCTGGAGAAAAGGAGGCTCAGGGGGACCTTCTGGCTCTGCAACTCCCTGACAGGAGGGGGGAGCCGGGGGGGGGGCGGGTCGGGCTCTTCTCCCAGGGAACAAGGGATAGGAGGAGAGGGAACAGCCTCAAGTTGTGCCAGGAGATGTTTATAATGGGTATTGGGGAAATTTCTTCATGGAAAGGGCTGTCCAGCCCCGGCACAGCTGCCCAGGGCAGAGGTGGAGTCCCCATCCCTGGAGGGGTTTAAAAGCCTTGTGGATGTGGCACTTGGGTCAGTGGTGGCCTTGGCATTGCCAGGGGGATGGTTGAACTCGATGATCTTGGGGGGCTTTTCCAGCCTTTATATGATTCTGTATCTCCTGGCCTGCTGTCTCTCACCCCCCTGCAAGGACCTTGGAGTGCTCAGGTGTGGGTTTGACCCAGGGTCAGACCCCTTGGCTCTGCTGGTGGCCACAGGACAGCTCATGTGGTTGCATCTGGGCCACATCCCACTGTTCACCTTTGCTGTTCTGACAAAAGTTGTGAAATTAGTTCGTCCTGGGTCCCTGCCTTCATTTTTCGGTCCCCTTACACATTTTAAGTGACGTCCATTTTTGCTGATGCTCTGTGGCATCTCAGGGAAAGGCTGAGGGTTTCCAGCAGGAATGGGTGGATCTGGAAGATTTTAGGCGTTTTATGAACGGGGACTAAGCACATTGTAGGATTTTTCTGCTAAAATGAGCAGCAGTGAAAACAAAATTGACTGTGATGACACTTAAGAGTTAAACTTTATATTTCAGTCTGTTAAAATGAATGAGGTGGGATACACAGCCAGTCGTGGATTTGGGAATACAAGCCCCGCTAACATAAGAATAGTTGCTCAGTTGGTCTTCAGCTATCAAGATATTTTGTACAGCCTTAAAATCATATCAGAATCTTCCCTGCAGCAGCCAAAGGGCAGATGATGTTCTTAGGTATGATTTGACCTGAGCTATAGCCAGAGTAGTTGGGTGCATAAAATGGTATTAATTTAAAAAGTTGGGGAAGGTGTAAGAGGAAAAACTCCCAAAATAGAGAAGATAAGTGTTTCTGCTCCATGAGAAGTTTTCCCAGATGACTGTGGCTATCTTTAAAAAAAAAAATCTCAGTGAAAAGTAAATGTTTGTATTGAGAGTCAGTTGACAATTCCTCTTCCAAATGTCCGATGGATGGACAAAGCCTTAAGGTCAGCTGTGCAGAGGCACTGGGAGTCTCTCATAGGGATACACTCAAACATCTCTGACATCTCTTGAGGGAAAAGAACAATTAAAAAATCAACTTTAAAAATGTACCTGTCCAATATTACTGATATAAGTACTGAAAATCCCCTTCAAGTACTTCTTTTATTTTTTTTTCTATTTTTTCTTTCAAAAATGGAGCTCAATTTCAGGTTTTAGAGTATTCAGCTATTGGCAACTTCACTTACAAGGTTTTGGTACTGTGATATAACTAGAATGTTATCACTAGCTAAATTTATATTATTTTAAATAATGTCTGAGCATATGTGTGTATGTATGTTCCTGACACATTCAATCTGTTGTTTTGCCTTTCAGACCCCCTGTATTTACATAATTTATTTCCTTTTTCCTGGGAATATGTCTGTGGGTCTTAGGGGAAAAGAATTAACATCCTTTTCCAAATCTAAAGCAAAACCTCATCTCACCTGACAGTGTTTCCTTAACAGCCTGAGTTAAGCAAGGAGGCACGAGAGGTGGTGAAGGGAGCACTGTTTTGGCCAATATTCCTGGACAAACGAGGGATACTGAAGGGAAGGGAGGCGAAATATAGGGGACAGGTTTTATTTCAAACTATTTTAAGGATTAATCTAATTAACTGTGCCTGTTTCATCACTTCTGGATAGGACATGTGTCCTTTGATGTCCTCCAGAAAAATAACACCCAAAAATACCTGACTCTTTCCGTAGAAGACATTCCCTATATTTCCAGAGGAGTGAAAACTAAGCTTGGAAGTCTTGTTTTTCAGTCCCTTTGGGTGTGGCAGTGGTGAGGCTGTGGTGAAAGATGCCATTTTTCAGTTGTGCTGCAGGTCTCTGTGCTGCCCACGCCTGGTGAGCTGCACCCCGACAGCCTCGGGGCGTCACAGCTGCCACTTCTGCCCTCCCTTACAGAGCTCTCTGCTTCCCTCCCCTTCTGCTGGAGGCTTGAAATCCTTTGAGAAAATGCACAGTAGTTGAGGTTCTGTCATTTGCCCAGAGAAGCTGTGGTTGCTCCATCCCTGGAAGTGTCCAAGGCCGGGTTGGACGGGGCTTGGAGCAACCTGGGATAGAGTGGAAGGTGTCCCTGCCCATGGCAGGGGTGGAACGAGATGGGCTTTAAATTCCCTTCCAACTCAAACCATTCCATGATTCTATGATTCTTCTGAGATCCTGCTTCCTCACAGACTCCAGGTCTCCCAAGGTTATCCCTCTTTGGCCCCCGCTCTCACCAGGGGCTGGAGGGTCTGTGGGACAGCAAGGGACAGTGCTGGGTGCCCTCAGCACCTGCCAACACTGTGCTTCCAGCACCACACTCCAACAAAATCCCTCAGGAGCACCCCTATGTCTGCTTGAGGGAAGTTTTGTGGGTGCTTTGCAGTTTTGCAGTAAAAGGGAACATTCAGTCCAAGGAAGAACAGCATTACTCCTTGCAAAGGCAGCAGCTGTGGTGCTTTCCCTGTCAGAGGACTGTGCTCTGCACCAAGGGAACCTCACCTTGTTGCTCAAGGAGCTGAGAACTCCCACATTTCCAATTGGTGTACTGGGGCTGTGGGACCAGAGAAGTCCTAGAATCCCAGAACAGCAAATTTGGAAGGGATCTTAAAGCCCATCTCATTCCACCCCTGCCATGGGCAGGAACACCTTCCAGTAGCCCAGGTTGCCCCAAGCCTTGTCCAACCTGGCCTTGGACACTTCCAGGGATTAACCTGCTCTGAGTTTTAACTCCAGAGGTTGATCACTCTCCTTTGGTGCTCCCCATCCCTCCACACCCAAGTAGCAAATTCCCAGGTGCTGAGATGTACTGGCTCAGTTGTCCTGCATTAACACAGAGGAAAACAAAGCCATCGGGGCCTTCCCTGCGCATCCTCTGTCCGTGTTATAAATACCCTCTGTGTTCCCTTTCCGACTGACTGGGTCCCTGCAGAGGAGGCAGCCTCGGGGCCCTGCAGAGTTTTCACATCCCTAACAAAGCACTGAAGGACGGGAAAGGACAACGGGTGCCGGGTGCGACTGTTCTGCGCCAGCGCCCCCCTTACTGCAATTACAGCTCTGTTAGAAACCTCCACCTTATTTAAAGAGACACTGTCAACTGCCTCAAAGCTCCCTTTGGGAAGAGTCTCCCAAAGCCACTGAGATGTGTTCTTAATGATGGGGAGAAAAACGCTGGAGATAAAGAGCACTGATAAAGCAGGGATGCTCTCCCTTTTTTAGGCTCTTGTATCTAACGAATTTAAACTGCTGCACAAACTTCAATTAATCACTGGAGTCCCTTTTGATGAAATTATTGTCTCAGTTTCCAGATGAGAGGAGCTGAGTGATCCAAAGTTGCTCAGTGATTTTGTTGCAGAGCACAGCTCTGGGTTCTGAGGTGATGCAGGAGAGTCTGAAATTATCTGGCTTTATGGCATGGATCAATACTTGATTGTTGGCAATAGCAGGAAATACTCCCGAGAGGCACCATGGGGCACTCTAGAAGTGCTCCAGCACAGCCAGTGTGGGATCCAAGATCCAAGGCTGGGTGAATTCCTGATCTTGTCTGGTCCAATGTGCTGTGCTTATCAGTGAAAGACCTCTCCAGGGCTCAGAAAAGGCGACTCCAGACTCACCTCTCCTCACTTCAAAGACTGCAGATCATCAGGAACCTCCTGAACACGTGTGTGTCTGTCCTTACACAAGTGGCTGGGCTCGTTGTTTTCAAACCTGCTTGCCTCTCATCCCTGGTGACTTCGGCCAGCTCAGATTTCCTTGCGTTTACCCGCCGTTCTCAGCTTTTATTTCGTGTCTGTCGCAGGTGTCCCGTCCCTCCAGGGTCCCTGCCATGGTGCTCAAGGTGTTCTTCCCGTCGTGCTGCTCCTCGGCAGACAGCGGCATCCTGGTGGGCCGCTGGCTGGCACAGCAGAGCTCTGCAGTGGTCCTGGCCGTGGTGCACTTCCCCTTCATCCCCGTGCAGGTCAAGCAGTACCTTGGGGAAGTCCAGCGCGTGACCAGAGTCAGCCTCTCTGTGCTCGGCTCCTGGAGCAACAGCAAGCAGGAGAAGGAGGAGGGTCTGAGTGAGTTCTTGGAAGACCTTGGGACCATATTCTCCCATGAGCCTTGGATTCAGATAAGCAAAGAGGGAGACAGCAAGTTCTGGAGCTGCTCTGCCCTTCAGAAACGCTCCAGCAGCCCTAAGGAGGAAGAAGTCATCTTGGTGTACTATGACCAGCGCAAGGTCATGCTCTCCCATCTGCACCCCCCTCTGGACACAGCTGATGGGAGGGCAGAGGATGCCTCCAAGCTCTCTGCCATCTTCGACACCGTGGCCAGGAGCAGGGTGCTGTTCATGACAGACAGGTACGACGAGGGGCCCATCAAGCTGACCCACTGGCAGTCGGAGGGGGTCGAGGCCAGTATCATCGTGGAGCTGCTCAAACAGGCCTCTGTGCCTGCCTGCATGCTCCTCACATTCCTGCTCTCACTGGTCTCTGGGATCTGCAGGAGCAGGTGAGTGATGTGATATCAGCCAGCTTGTTTTGTGTGGAAGTGTAATTTAGGCATTTACGGGGTTCCTGCTCAAGCCCAGTGAGATATACAGTTGATACAAGAGGTTCTGTTGGAAGGAGGCTGCTGTTGGAGTTTGGGGAGCCCCACGGAAAACACAAGGCCAAAAACCCCCACAAGGCCAAAGGCTCCCTCGGATAGGGCTCTTCATGGAGCTGGGAGGGTTTCTGGGGAAGCATTTGCAGCAGCCCCACTTCACTTTCATCACAGCTGGACCAGTGGATTTCCAGCTATTCCATGGCTGACTGGGAGCCTCTCCTTAATGGCTTCACAGCTGGGACTCCCTCCTCCCTGTTTGCTGTGAGTCCTTCCCCAGCTGCCAAACATCAGCAAACAGTGTTTCTAAATCCATTGTCCTCCAAGAGACTGTGGTGCTGCAGCCTTGGCACCTTATAGCAGGTCACAGGGATTGCTGCTCTGCATGAATCCTTGGGGAAATCCTCACAACTGGGAGACTGAATAGGATGATCCATGTAATGTGTGGCAAGTGCTTGCACTAATGAGGAATTCCGACCAGATTCGAAGGGGAGAAGTTTAGAATCATGGAATCATTTAGGTTGGAAAGATCATGGAGTCCAACCATTAATCCAGCACTGCCAAGGCCACCACTAACCCATGTCCCCAAGGGCCACATCTACATGCTTTTTGAACACTTCCAGGGATGGTGATTCCATCACTGCCCTGGTCAGCCTGCCTGGAGAGGTTGTGCCAGGGAGGGGAGTGGAGTTCTGGTTCCCAGCTGCAAGGAGACAATTTAATTGATGAAATTTGGGTAACAGCTACTACTGTATTCATGGATAAATCTTCTCAAGTGCAGCCTAAGGGCAGGAGGGAGGGAGGCTTTTAACAGTTTCCAATTGTGTGATACTGTTGTGAAAGAATTACAGTGAAACTCTTCCCATGCAAAGACTTTCTGAACAGTTGGGTTACATATTTTGGTGCATAAAGGGGAAACTGGCCAGTTTTGGACTATTCTATTGGAAAAGATTTAGGATCAGGCCCAAACCTGATATAATCAAGGACCTCTGGTTCCTGAGGCTGCTCTGTAGATGCTGACTGTGTGTTAGTGGCTGTCAGTGGTGACTAAGTCACACCTTTGTGATTGGGCAGAAGGTCAGAAGAGAGTCAGCTCAGAAGGTCCTTTTTCTGGCTCTGCCACCACCAACAAACAGGACGATCCTTTTCTTTGTCCTAAAAGGCCCTGATTTGATCAGTCAGGTTTTGAGTCAGGTTAAGCCAAGCCTCACACAGTCTAAGTCAGGAACTCAAGCTCAGTCTGGTTGGGCCTGGATAGCTGCTACCCAGCTTCTCAGGAACTCTGACTTCAGCTTTTCCGAAGCCCAGGATGGATGTTTGGAGGCACAGCAGCAGCCAGCTGTACCTGCCAGCTGGCAGAACGTGAGGCTGGCTGTGCACAAACCTGGGCTGAACGTGTTCTTAGGCTTGGGAGACAGATACAGCTTGTTCTCTGCTCTGTTCTATTCACCCATAAGATCAGCATTACACTCACTTATCTTACAAAGCATCAGTCTCGGAGAACAGAGATTGGTACCTGGCTTTATAACAAACCTCCTGCTTGATTTTCTAAGTCATTTAAGCGAGTTTGGTTCCACTCAGCACGTGGTGTGTGTGCTCCAACCTCCCTTGTGCCAACGTCCTCAAGGCAGGGAGGGTTCCAAGTGTCACGGGCAGGTGTCCTCCCAGTCCTCAACTGCCCATGCTGGGACAGGACGTCCCATAAAATAAGATCTACCAGGTTTTTGCTCCTTTGGGTCACAGGACTTCTTTCCTTCCCTGTTTTTTGTGCTGTCAGCTTTGAAAAGCTGAAGAAAGGGATGAGCAATGTCCTCTGGGGCTGCAGCCCTGTTGGATATGCCCCGTTGTGTGTTTGCTCTGGAGAAGGGTGGCAGCAGCTGGAAATCTGGGGAGGTGAGTTGCTGACACCCATCCAAGCCCACCCAGTGCTCTCTTATCTCGAGTTAAGGCATTTCTTCAGCACCACCGTGTGCTGAGGGGTGGCCATTGCAGTTCTGCTTCTGAGGGACTTGGGGGCAGGATTCCCATTGTCCCTGAAGGTCTCTGTGCTCTTGGGGACATCAGGATGATTTGGTCTTGGGGCAATAAGTTTTGTGTGCTCCTTGTAAAAAAAAGTCTGTTTATAAACACCACGAGCTCTGATCCCTCATCCAAAGGGAGGCACTGTTCCTGCAGGTTCCAGCAAGGAGCAAAAAAGAGTTGGGAGTTCTGGTTAATGGAGCTTAGTGTTTGCATGTGATTCCAGATTTGGAAAGATTGCTTTTCATCTGTTATCTGAAAAATCCCCTCTCGCTCCTGGGAAAAAACTGAATTGGAAAATCAAGACTTACTCATGGAGGCTGTGCTAATTTATTGCTAAAATTCCTTATATTTGGAAATACCCCAAAGATCTCCTGCTGCTTAAATAATGCAATGACACAACGTCACTGGATTTCTGTTGGGTTTTTTAATCTGGTTGATTTTCCATTGAAGTTCTGAAAATCATTCTGTCTAGTGGGTGGTAAACAAGTGGGAGCATTTCTGGCAATGTGCAAAGGGGTAGGAGACCACGCAGGGAATATTTCTGGCTTTCTTCCTCAGCCCTCCTAGAGATGAGAGTTCCCGTAGCACATCTTGCAGCTGCTCTGCTGAGCTTTTTGCAGCATGTTTGTGTTTGTGTTTCAATAACGATGTGTATTTCCTTTCCGAAGAAGGTGTGTGAGTGGAGAAGAGGTTGTCCTTGTGGTGTTGGGTGAAAAGAAAAGAGAGTCAGTTGTAGCAGACAGGCACATCCCTCTGATGTGTTTGTTGCTTGAGGAGCAGCCCTGGATGGTGAGAGACACCCAGTGCTGGGGGAGGACGTGGGACTGTCACCCTGAGTGTGTGGCACAGGGCCCTGGATCTGCTGCTTTCTGCCTCAGCTGAGAGGGTCTGGCAGCTGGGGTTTGACTGGTAATTGCTCACCTTCAGCCATCTGGACATAATCCCACAGGTAGAGCGTTTCTCCTTCCCCCTCCTTTGCATTTCAAGTGCGATTCTCTGCTCTAGTCAAGTTTTGCAACAGCAGAATTTGTAACCACTGGGCTGGGGCATAATTGGAAGAGAAAACTCGTCTGCCTTTGTGTCTCAGTGAATCTGCGAGCCCAGGTCTTTGCATCAGTGACCCCCCCTGTCCCTCCCCTGCACGGAGCTCTTTCCTCAGTGCCTCCCCCGACAAGGCAGCTGAGGAGCAGTGCTCTCATTTGTCTCCAAGGTGGGAGGCTGGAGCGCAGAGCTGAGTAACTTGGAGACCTCAAATTAAGAATGATTCACAGAACACTGCGTGTGTTTCAAGCCCAATGTGTCTGAAATCTGAATGGGGAGGGAGGGAGGGGGAAGGGGGCACTTCAGCACTTGGGTTTTTCAAGCTGACAAGCCCTGCAGGAAGGGTGGGTGGAAGGGCTCAGGAGGATGTGGGGAGGAGGGGGCAGCAGCCGTAGGGAGCTCAGTGGGGTTTGGAGAGGCCATACCCTTGTGATTTGTGTGAAATGCATAAATAGTCCATCCCTGAGTGTCCATGCATAAATAGTCCATCCCTGAGTGTCCTGTGGGCACTCTGCTGCTGGGAGTGGGCTGATGTCCTCTGATGAAATCCATGGAAGGCACACACACACTTTACAGGGACACAGATCTGCAGGTCGTGCTCAGTAGTGATCCGAGCAGCTCTACAATTTCAAAAGCAAAGCAGGATACAAGGAATAGTGCTGGTGTGTGGAGTGATGTGAACTGCAGGACCGTGCCAAAGCAGTCCAGGAGAGTAGGTGGAGTGACTAAAAGTGAATGTAGATCCCTGGACCCTAAACAAAAAGCAGTGAAGCACTGTGAAAATGGTGCAACAACAACTGTGTACAGGAGGGAAGTGAGTCAAATGATGTCCACACCAGAGTTTAGCCTCCAGAGCAAACCTGGTGCTCTGTGTTGCTGTGGGTTCTGCACCCAGTGCTGTGTCATTTTAACCTACACAAAGCACCATCAGTCCTTGCTTTGTAGGTTGTGTGGAAATAAAAGTAACTCCCCAAAATAATTGAGCATCATTTAGTACTTTTCTTCTGAGTCATAAGAAAAGAACCGTGTGACTGTTTCCTCCCCTACAAGCCTCATGTGAATGTTAACTTTGAAACCTAATTAAGTTCTAAATGTCATGTTATCTACATAATGCTGGTCACTGCAAGGCTGTGGAGAGCAGGTAGAAAGGAAGACCCTGAGAAAGGAATTGGGGAGTAATAAAGAAAAAAAAAGAAAGAAGGATCAATTGGAAGGAAAAAGAAAAGAGGAGGGGAAGGGACAGAAACTGCACAGAGAACACTGCTCTTTGTTATACCAAGCTCACACAAAAGAGAGACTGGTGATCCCCTCTCCTGTGAGGAACAGCTGGGACAGTTGGGGTTGTTCAGCCTACAGAAGGGAAGGCTCCAGGGAGACCTGAGAGCCCCTGCCAGGGCCTAAAGGGGCTCCAGGAGAGCTGGAGAGGGACTGGGGACAAGGGATGGAGGGACAGGACAAGGGGCAATGGCTTTCCACTGTCAGAGGGCAGGGAGAGATGGGATATTGGGAAGGAATTGTTGGCTGTGAGGGTGGGCAGGCCCTGGCACAGGTTGCCCAGAGAAGCTGTGGCTGCCCCAGCCCTGGAAGTGTCCAAGGCCAGGTTGGATGGGGCTTGGAGCAACCTGGGCTGGTGGAAGGTGTCCCTGCCCATGGCAGGGGGTTAAGATGAGATGACCTTTGAGGTCCCTTCCAGCCCAAAGCATTCAGTGATTCTGTGATTGGTACCACTGGGAGCTGTGCAGCAGTTACACCACGTTGTGTTGTTGCACTGCACACAGAACTGCCTTGGCTCCTCTCTGCTGGAGGCTCAGGGCGTTGTGCAAGCCCAGTGATGTATCCCAAAGCACAGGCTGGAGTCAGGATTGCCTTGTGGCTTCCTTGGAAGAGCAAGGCACGTGGTTTGACAGAGTGGAAATGAGAGGTTGGGTTGTCTACTTTAGATGTCTTGGTCTGGCAAGGCTCCTTAATTCTGTTAACCTTTCAGAGAGTCCTTAACATCTAATCACCATCTCTGGTTGCACACTGTACACTGAGTGTTTTGCATGGATTTGGGATGCTGGTCTGCCTGCTGCCTGGCAAAGGCAAAAGGGGACATTCCCATGTGTTTCTGCAGGGTGCTGAAGTTTTGGCCCTTGTCTTTCTTATGGAGCAAACTCTCAACTTGTGAGCAGCTGGGACATCGCCTGCAGCATCTCCAGGTCATCAGCAGCGACAAGAAGGCTCAAACCCAGACTCAGCTGATGAGGTATGGGGTACATGGAAGGCCATGTGTGTCTTTGCTCTACTCCTGTCTCCCTTGGGGAACCCAAACCATGGATCCCATGCACACACAGCACTATGGGGTCATCACCCCTTGCTCCACTCCCTGCCACTTTGCTCATCTTTGCTCTGCACTCAATTTGTATGCATATATGTTTATAACTTTATATGCTAATTATGCCTTTTGCCAGATATCTGCCTTTTTTCCCAAGCCTGAGAAAGGCAACTGGGATGTTGCCCCCCAAAAGCTTGTCCTGCACCCGTGTGTGAGTGCTTTGCTCTCACTACTCCCACAAACTCGTGCTTTCCTGTGTGCTGCTGTTAACCAAAAGCTGCCATCAGTGTTCAGTGGCATTTTCCATAAGAGCAGAAAGGTTTAAATGCTCCTTTCTTTCACCCATTCTCTTGGGGAACCTTTTCTTGCAGAAACTTCAGACCAGAGACTCTGACAGCACTAACAAAGTCAGTGTAAGAGAAAAAGCAAACATGCAGCACAGTGAGTGGAACAGAGCAGAGATCTGAGACAGAGATTGAATGCCCTGCAGCCCTTCCACAGCCAGTCTGGTTCTGTGTGCTTCTCTGATCCTGCAGTAATAGACTCCCAGGGAACACTTAAAATAGATTAGCAGATTTGAAGACCAAAAGTAACTGTGGTTGTTTAATCTGATTTCCTGAATAACTCACGGCATGGAATTTCATTCAGAAACTCCAGCAGGGAAGGGGCAGCTCAGCAGTCCTTCTGGGTTTGGGTATGAACCCAGAAACAATATTTATTGCCTTGAGTTGGGAAGCATCTGATCTCAACGTGGATGCTCCAAGTGCTGGTGCCCTCAGTGCTGGTAATTGGTAAATCCCCCTGAGTGCGTCTCTACCTTTCAGTCTAACATTCCTCTTTGTAGCTTCAGTCCAGCCTTTGCTCCCTACTAAAAAAGGTTTTGTGGTGTGGCAGACTCTGAGTGGCTCCATGTTTAGAATCACAGACTCTCCTGAGCTGGAATGGGCCCCCAGGGATCATCCATCCAACTCCTGGCCCTGCACAGACACCCCAGCAATCCCACCCTGTCCCTCAGAGCGTTGTCCTGGAGCTCTGGCAGCCTTGGGGCTGTGCCCACTGCCCTGGGGAGCCTGTTCAGTGCCAACCACCCTCTGGGGGAAGAACCTTTTGCTGAGATCCAACCTGAGCCTGCCCTGACACAGCTCCAGCCATTCCCTGGGGGCTGTCCCTGGTCCCCCAGAGCAGAGATGGGAGCTGCCCCTCCACTGCCCCTCAGGAAGAAGTTGTGACTGCAGGGAGGTCTCCCCTCAGTCTTCTCTTCTCCAGGCTGAGCACAGAAGGAACAGCACAGCAGGGAAGGTCAAAAGATCCCTATGCTGTTCCTCTTCACTGGGTTGTCCTGTTGTCCCTGGGACATGAAAGGTGCGACGTAAGCAAAGCCAGCAGTTGTCACTGAAACATTAAACACCATCCTTCCTTTTCCTCTAACCCTGTTTCTCTTTCTCCTTCATGCAGGAAAGCCAACATCTTTGTCTCTCTGCTGATTGATGTGGCTCTGGGGATCCTGCTGATGTCCTGGCTCTACAGGAAGAACCGAATTGGTCACCTTGCTGACACTCTCATCCCCGTGGCTGACGTAAGTCTGGCTAAGGCTGTTCCTCCTTCAGCTGCTCTGGGTGCTGACCAGCTCTCCATGCCTGGGGTAGTTGGAAGGAGGCAGTGCCTCCCACATAAGGGTTTCAGAGAGTCCTGTCTGAAGTCATGCAAATTAAGTCTCCTCAAGAGCAGTGAAATCTTCAATCGAGCCTGTTGGGGCTGCTCAAAAAGAACACAGCTCTGCTTTGCATGTGCTGTGCATGGTAATTAGATGTTTACTGGAGGGCTGCTCCAACTCCTGAAGGAACAATTATGGCTTGGACAGAGCTCTGCAGCTGCAGGTTGAGTGGTTATGGAGCCACAGTACTTTTATTTTGTTCTAGAGTCAACAGAAAGTGTCCTCAGATTGTCTGGGGGGAAACAAAGCTGTAACCTGGGCTGAATCTGATAAACTGCTGAAAAGTCAAACTTGATAAGCAGTGCAGCTGTGCTTGTGAAAGGAGTTTCGTGGGGAAGTCCAAAGGCTTTGGCTGCTCAGGGTACAAACACCTGAAATCCTGCCTGAGAGCTTTGGGACACAGAGGCTAAACTAGGAAAACTTGCTGTGTCTTGTGATTCTGTCAAACATAACTCCTCTTGCCCACGAAGATTTCTCAGCATCAGCAGAATTTCACGAAGAGCAAGTCTGACTCACACCATCCTGCTCTTCTAGTGGCTCATTTTAGGTGCAGAGCTCCAGTATATCTGTTTAGTGGCACTAAGGAACATATAATGTACTTCAGAAGTTGGAGACCAGACCACTAATCTGAGGTCAGCTCTGTCTTAAGAGCTTCTGTGCCTTCTGGGGCAGCCAGTTTTGAGCCCTGCCTTGCAGCTGCACGGCCTAATCCTTTCTCTACCCACTTTTCTTTCATTTCTGAGTGGATCTTTCCATTGGTTTCTTTCTAGCAGCTGGAGAACGTCTTCTTTCTGCTCTTTCTCCAGCTTCTTGATTCTGATTAGAAAATTCCAGCAGTGTTTATTTTTCCCACTGATGCTGCATTTCCTGAGGAGGGCTCCTGGTTCCCTTGATGATGATCTGCTTGGTCTGTGTCTACCCCTGTAATTGTTGCAAGCCATCAGTCTCTTATCATTCTTGGACGTGCTGTGCTTTCAGGAAGTGTGTATGGAGTGCCCAGCATAGCTGTGGATCATGATTATTGATGTTTTTCTTATCTTCCATAGTCACACTTTCGAGGATAGCAGGTTTTAAGGATTGCTGCAGTCCCTGCCCACTAGCAGTGGTGGGTAGGAAGGACCACATTCCCTGCAGGAGCTATACACTACAAACACTTCTCTAAGCAGCTCTTTTCCCTTACAACTGGAGAAGTTTAAGTTCCCTAGAGCTCTCCCTATGGGATTATTGTAAGTGCCCAGCTCTCAGAAATCTGAGTTCTTAACAAGTCTGCAGGGAAGTGGCTTTGGCTGCGTTCCTGGTGGCACAGGTGGCTCTGGGAGGGATTCCATCTGCCCAGTGTCTTTGGCAGATGGACACTCTCTGTGCTCAAGGTGTGTCCAGCCCCAGCACCTGTCCTGGACAGGCTGGCCTGTGAGGTTGCTTGTTTGTTCCTCTCTCAGTAATTTAGCTCACCTGTCACTCAGCTCATGCATCAGTGTCAGTTATCTCCACATGCCTCCTACGTGTGTGGACTTGGTTACCTGGCTATCACCAGGAGCTGTTTGCTTTCCTTCCTGGAAGTGCTGACTCCTCCATGTGTGGGGGGCCCTGATAGCCAGTCAGTGCCTTTCTTCCCTGTTTATCCAGGCTTATCATTTCAGGCCACTCACAGCTCTCCTTACTTCCAGCCTTACTTTCTTCTTTCAGGCATATTAGATTGTGGACATCATAAAATCATTTGGAGTCCTTTTACTGCCTTTGCTGGGCATTGATTTATATGCATATTGTGCAGGCCTTAAAAATGCAGATCTGAGTGATCCCAAAATATACCAATGACTTCAGCATGTGCTGAGCAAGCCAGCTCCACTTCTTTTCCAGTATGACAGCAAAATCTCCCCTTAGCCATTCAGCAGTAGGTTTCCTCTGTGCTGCTGAGTGTCCATCTGGAATGCATTATTCCCATCACTGGGGCTTTCTCAAGTGCTTGTGTGTTGCCAAGTTCAGTAACAGAGCTCCTGTTCCTTCCCTGAAGCTCCTTCTCTTCTGCTTTTGAGCTGTGCCCCAGATCTACTGATGGCATTGGCCTTACACCTCCGTGCTAGTAAATAGAATATTGGATATTTCATTTGCCCCAGAGGGTGGTTGGCACTGAACAGGCTCCCCAGGGCGGTGGGCACAGCCCCAAGGCTGCCAGAGCTCCAGGAGTGTTTGGACAACGCTCTCAGGCACAGGGTGGGATTGTTGGGGTGTCCTGGGCAGGGCCAAGATCCTTGTTGGTCCCTTCCTGCTCAGGGTATTCCCTGATTCTATTATAATAAGCTTATTATATACTCTAATATATTATAAATTGTACATAACCTTATTTTAACCTCATTGATTTTCATATTGACAAACTAACCTTATATAACACATAACCTTATTGGTTTGATTGATTGATTTTAATATTCACAAATACAGCCGTGTGCAGCCTGGATAAACTGCTCAATTTTTTTGCCTAGCAGGCGTCTCTCTGGAAGGAGGCAGGTCCAGGTGGGGTATTTTGACTCTCAGCACAGGTCATAGGCTCAGCTGCTGCCAGGAGGCTCAGTCCCTGTTCCCTGGCCATCATTCCTCATCCCCTGATGAAATGGTTCTCAAATCCGCACTTAGCTGGCAATTGTTGGTGCTGCACAAGGCGTCCCACTCTCACAGCTTGAGGAGCTGTGCTGTGCTGGCTGTAATAACAAGTTGCTTTTGTCAGGCAGATGTGATTCACAGACACCCAGGGAGCCACTGGCAAGGAGCTGTGTGCAGTACCAAGGACTGATTTGAGGAGCAGGCTTTCAAATCCAAGAATGGAAAATGGGAATAATCTCTCTGTAGGTGCCCACACAACTCGTACCTTCCTCCGTCCCCTTGATCCCACCAGGCTTGCCAGTGGTTGTCCTTTTTCCACAAGACAGCCTTCTTTCAAAAATACCTGCCTCAAAACACTACACTGGCTTATAAACTATCTTCTTTTTCTTTCCCTCCTTCATCTCTTTCATCCTCACTGCTGTCTCTGTTTCTAAAGCTGTAATCTCTTTGAAACAGTTAAATATTTATCACAGATCGGGCCTCCAAAAGCCTTACTGGGGCTTGGAGATAATTGGATGTACATTCCTACTCAGCCTTGTTCTGCTGATGCATAAACAAAGCAAGCAGAGGGAACACTTCCTGGAAAATATTTATGGGTGGTAATTTGTGAAATGGTGTGTCTCAGAGCCCCAAACACCTGCAGCACACACGGGCAGGTGTGTGTGGCAGGGAGAGCTTTGGCTCTGTGTGCTCCAGCCTGCACCACATAGAACCATTAAGGCTGGAAAAGAGCTTCGAGGTCATCAAGTCCCACAGTCAGGCAGCACCACCTCTGTGTTCACCACTAGAGTGTGTCCCCAAGCACCACATCCACGTGCTTATGAACACTTCCAGGGATGGGGACTCCACCACTGTCCTGGGCAGCTGTGCCAGGCCCTGACCACCCTTTCCATGAAGAAATTTTCCCAATATCCAACCTAGACCTCCCCTGGCACAGCTTGAGGCTGTCCCTGTTCCCTGGGAGCAGAGCCTGACCCCCCCTGGCTCCTCCCTCCTGTCAGGGAGTTGCAGAGCCAGAAGGTCCCCCCTGAGCCTCCTTTTCTCCAGGCTGAGCCCCCCCAGCTCCCTCAGCTGCTCCTGCTGCTCCAGCCCCTTCCCAGCTCTGTTCCCTTCCCTGATGCATCAGTGGGTTTCCTGGTGCCCTGTGTGTCCTTATCCATGTCACATCACCATCAGTCCCTCTGCATATGGGAACTAGGAAGAGCATGACAGTAAAGGGAATGTTTCCACAGTGAGCTCATCTAACCCTCCTTAGCTTCAACCTCTCTCCAGTTTGGTCGTGTCCCTGCACCCTGTTATGAAACACTTCAACCTGCTGGGTGTGATTTATTAATCCTGCCCACATTCAGTATTCATGGCTGCAGGAGGAGAACCGGCCTCCCAGTCACCTTTTCTGATTCTCCTGGCTATCGATCAGTCCTCAAATATCTGCTTGGAAAACAATCTCCAAGGTTATGCCTCGGGACTGTGCTTTGGGAAACCTTGCCCAGCTAAATAACAGCAAGATAGGGCACCTTCCCAGGGCTACGTGCCCCTGTCAGGGTTCAGCAGCACCTCTGGGACTGGCAGCCTCCAGAAATACTCCCTGCTAAAAAACCAGCCTTGCTCAAGGACTGCTTTCAAGCATTTAAATATTTCATTAAAATCCCCAAATGCTTTTTCTAAGTTACCAATCCAACACTTTAAATATTAAACCCGGTCTATTTATAAAGCAGCAAACGCTTCTCAGCCACAGAGGTGAGCTCCATGGGATCCAATCAGTCCTGACTTGCAGTGAGACAGAGGAAAAATGGAGGGAACAGCAAGACAAGCCTTTTGGAGAAGTTAGAGATGGAGCCATTAATTTTGCCACTGCACTAAAAGTAAATATTTACAAACTCATTTTGCTAGGATCTCGTTGGTTAATAAAGAAAATGGAATCGTTCCTTGGAAACAATTTCCTTGTAGGGAAATTATCCATGTGAATGATGGGGAAAGAAGGCTGCAGTGCTTTAGGGAGTGTGGTTTGGTGGTTCTACTTGTGGGCAGTTTTCAGTGCCCTTCACTTGCATGGACTTAACTGTCAGTGGGATTTTTGGAGGTAGAAGGCTTTTCCTCACAATCTGTTCATGTGGGACAGTGTGAGAGATCCCTTCTTCCAGGTATGTTCCCCAACTCTTTGCTGAAGGTTACCACTCTCAGCTACCTCAGTTCACAGCCTGTAAATGGAATTCTCCTCTGGTTTCAGCTCAGGGCAGTAGGGCAGGTGTGAAGCACCAAGCAGCAGAGCCCCTGCAAGGGGAGTGTAGAGTAATGGGGTGGAGAGAGAAAATCAATAAATAACATCAGCCTGGGATGAAATCACCAGAAATTGTGAGTCAAAGCCCCCAGTGAAGGGTCTGGAGCACAAATTTGAGGTAAGGAATAACAATCCCAGAGCTGGGTTTTGGTTTGTTCTGCTGCATTGAAGTGACAGCACACAGGGCAGGTGGGAATGTGTTCTGGAGCTCAGCACCAGAGTCCCTTGGGAGCTGCCCCTGCAGTCCTGGGGACAGTGTTGGTCCCTCATAACAAGAAAGCCATGGAGGGGCTGGAGTGTGTACAGGGAAGGGAACGGAGCTGGGAAGGGGCTGGAGCAGCAGGAGCAGCTGAGGGAGCTGGGGGGGCTCAGCCTGGAGAAAAGGAGGCTCAGGGGGGACCTTCTGGCTCTGCAACTCCCTGACAGGAGGGGGGAGCTGTGGGGGGGGTCGGGCTCTGCTCCCAGGGAACATGATAAGAGGAAACGGCCTCAAGCTGTGCCAGGGGAGATTAATTTAAAATATTGGGAAAACTTTTTCATGGAAAGGGTGGTCAGGCCCTGGCCCAGCTGCCCAGGGCAGAGGTGGAGTCACCATCCCTGGAGGGACTTAAAAGATGTGGATGTGGCACTTGGGGACATGGGTTAGTGGTGGCCTTGGCCATATTAGGTTAATGGTTGGACTTGATGATCTTAGAGGTCTTTTCCAGCTATAATGGTCTCTGATTCTGTGATTTGGGGACAAGCTGCATTAGTGTTTTTCATCAGTGATTCAGAGGCTGCTTTGTTTCAGGAATGCCATAGGTAGGTACCTCTCCATGGAGCCTGCAGAGAGGCACATCAGTGATAGGCAAGAGCCTGAAAGGCAAGGGCTATAAGCAGGGTTACTTTTGCCTAGCACAGCACAGAGTATCAAGAAATTTTGTGTATGAAATACATGTATATAATTGTATTTTCTACCCTGCTCTAAACACATACATTTGTAAAAATTCACTGCACTGCCATACTCCCCCTTTTTACAGTCCTGGCAGCCTTCCCTGAGCTCAGCTCTGACTTTTCAGTTGCCTGTCTCCAGAAGTCCATTTGTGCACCAGCATTTGCCATCGGTCTCCAGGACTCTCATTTCTCACTGTGCAAGTCTACCAGAGGTGACACAGTTTCACCTTCCCAGCACTGAGACCATGGAAGCAGTTCAGGTTCCTCTCAGCTGCTGTGTTTGGGTCAGTAAGGAGTCAGTGCAGGTGCATTTCTGATTTGACTGGTCGGCTGTAAAGTAGCTGTTTGGATTTTTTTCCGTGGGTATGAAGGCTGTGGTAAGAATCCTTTGAGGGGGCAGCACTAACAGAGCACAGTTCCTGTTTGGTGTGGGAGCACTGTTTTATCTCCATTCCCCACTTCCCTGTGTTTGCAGAGCGTAGCTGAGGAGCTCCAGGACCTGCTCCAGTGGCTGATGGGAGCCCCAGCTGGACTGAAAATGAACCGAGCTCTGGATCAGGTTCTGGGCCGCTTCTTCCTCTACCACATCCATCTCTGGATTAGTAAGTGCAGTTGTTTAACTTCCCAGCCTCCCTTTTCATCTCTTCCCTCTGAGTGTTTAATGTTTGCCTAGAGGTGAGTAATGAATCAAAATGCTTTTCTGCAAGTACAGACTTGTCTTTGAGTCTTCCTGCTGTGGGAACTGAAGCTAAAGTTGGATTCCCACACAAGGAAATCATGCATATTAAGCAAAGTGCTGGTGTTGATGCTCTGCAAGAAATGCAGATCACCATGGAGCTTTCTTGGTGTCACTGGTGGTGGGTCCAAGGGAAGGCACCTCTACAAGGTCTTACCCAGGGTTTACATGGCCTTTACCATGTGGAAGGCAGCTGATGGGGTAGGGATGAGGAATGTGCAGGGATGCAAACACCAGCCCTGTTCTATCCCCAACTTCAGCCTAGTGCAGCTTCATTATTTCAGGTTCCCCCTTGAATTAATACTCCCCTTCTATCCTTGATGTACAGTCACGATGGACATGAACCCCACAGTTATTATACTGCTTTGCTTTGCTCACCAATCAAGTGTGGTCTTGTTTGTGTGACTTTGCCCCACTTTAGTGATGAAAGAGACTGTTTCTCCACACTGTTTTTTTATAAAAGCCATATGGGGTGGCTTTTGTGGGAAGGGCAGGAAAATAGGAATGGTTGCAGTAAATGTTGATGTGTGCAGTTAAAAATGTACTTGAGAACCCGGACACAGGTGTAGAAAATCAAATGTTCTATCCCTGGAAGTGTTCAAGGCCAGGTTGGACAGGGCTTGGAGCAGCCTGGGCTAGTGTAAAATGTCCCTGCCCATGGCAGAGGGTGGAACAAGATGGGCTTTAAGGTGCCTTCCAACCCAAACCATTCCATGATTCTGTGAATCACATGTGGAGCAAAGTGGCTTCTCTGTTCAAGGTAAGTGTGTCCTCCCCTTCCTCACAGAGCTGCCACACCTGAACAGAAACCTGGGCTCCTAAAAAGGAGGTAACATCTAAAGGAGTTTTCCAGCTTTGCTCCCACGTTTTCATGGCTCTGATTTCCAGAGCCGTGTTCTAGAGTAGGGGGAATCAGACCTTTGAGAGTGCCAGGAGGAGGTGACACCGACCCTCTGCCATGTCCCCCAGGCTACATCCACCTGATGTCTCCCTTCATCGAGATGATCCTGTGGTACGTGGGGCTGTCCGCCTGCCTGGGCCTCACTGTGGCTCTGTGCATCCTCTCCGACATCATCGCGCTCCTCACCTTCCACATCTACTGCTTCTACGTCTACGGGGCCAGGTGAGTCCTTCCCCCCTGGCTTTGGGTGGGGACAAGGGCCACAGAGCCCTCAGGCCACACCTTCAGTTGGTGGAGCATTCGGTCCTGGTGGAGTGCTTTTCAATTAATTTATTTATTAATTCTTTTATGCTGGTAGAAATGGTGGCCACAGTAGTGCAAGCAACCTGTCTTTCAGTTCTCCCGTGTTTAAATATTTATTTATCGTGGTATTGACCTGGAAAAATAAAACTACATGACAGGCAGAGGACAGGAAAGCTGCTCTGCCATCCCTTTGATTCAGCCTCATAGTGCTCTCCTCAGTTGCACCCTGCCCAGTGGTTTGGAGGGGAATGGGAGGAGGGGAGGAGGAGGAGAGGGGAACTCTTGTAGCTCTGGAGAATCTCCAGAGTCCCTGTTCTTTCCCTGCTTCAGAGGTTCTTGTGGAGCACAGTTGCCAGGTTTGGGGTCCCAGCATGGCTGTGACACCATCCTGGTGTCATTGTCTGGACCTCCTGGAGAGCCCTGTGGCCTGAGGGCTGGGGCATGTGGGGAGTGCAGGGGGCTTTGGGGCACATCTGGGGCATGTTGTGGTTCCTGTGCAAGGAGTGCCCATCCCTGGGCTCTGCTCCTGTCTCCTGTAACATGTGCTGCACCAAGGAGTCACACAGGCCATGGGACAACAGCTGAGCCTGATAGGATACAATAAGTAAAGGACCTTTGGGTTTATAAGGTACAGAATGGTCATTGTCCCTCCCCAGGCTTCACACTGCAAACAATAGGAGAAATAGCAAGTCTTTAGACATGAGTAGTTTAGGGAATGGTTGGAAATATTGAGACATGATTTATGAGTCAGGTCTGTTGTGAGTGCAGGGCTTACACCCAAAATCAGTGTCAGTGATTGGGGGGGTCTCTTCCCAGCACCTCTAACTACTGGAATCTCTGTGCTGGTCTATGAGGAGTGGCCTTGCTTCTCCTCACTGTGCAGAGAGTGGAAGTAGGAAAAGCATTTTCTCAGCTGATTGCTCTTCCCTCGAGCTGCAGGGAGCCAGCCAACCCACCTCGTGTTTGTTGGGAGTACAGGGAGCTCTTTGTTACCTTGGCACTGGCACTGAGCTGCCCTGCTGAGCCAGGTGCCCCCATGGAGAGCCAGGAAGGGACAGCAGTCACCCACAGCCACCACAGCCCCACAGTTGGTGGAAGAATTTGCTGGTTCAGGTGCTGGTGAAGCCCAAGATCCCCTTGTGAAGCAAACCACAGAGTGACAGGAGGGCAGGCAGTGTGTGCAGGCAGCCAGGGCAGATGGTGCAGGGGCCACCACAGCAACACCCGCTTGGTGTCACGTCAGGGTGTGCAGGGAGTGCGTGGCCTCAGTCAGAGCCATGTCTGGTGTGTCCCAGAACCTGGAGGAGCCTTCCTGGGCACCCTCCTGCCCGGGGATCAGTGCACTGAGCTGTGCCTGCAGCCTGGGGGCACCCTGCCAGTTCCTGGAAGCAGCTGGTGTTCCTCAATCCTAGAGATTACTCTCTGGGATAAGGCTCCTTGCCTCTGCTTTCACAAAGCTGATGTGAAGTCTGAGCAGCCTCCACGCCTTAGCTGGCCTGGTTTACCAGGCTGGCTTTTGGAGCTCAGGCTTTCTCAGGCTCAGTTTTGCCCCACAGGTTGGCTGTGTCCCCTTTCTTTCTATCCCTGTATGTTGGCACTTCTGCCCAGGCCTCTTTGTGCCTCTTCTCCATCCTGGGAGTCCTTTATTCCTTGATGTTATTCCATAGAAGGGTGTCTGTTTCACATCCCTTGTCATCCCAAGTTTCCCTCATCATTGCCATTTTTCTGGGAGGGAAGTAGCTCCAAGTGTCCTAGCACCAAGTCTGTGAATCCTAAGGAAGGGATGCAGTAGGGGCCATTTCCTTGGTCTCTTCCCCTCCTGAGGACGTTTGGAGCTGTGAGTTACTGGGGAAGGCACAGGGGATCCAGTCCTCTCTCTTGTCTCTGTGCTGCAGAGGCAAAGTTGCATTGCATGGACTCGAGGAGGGGGGTCAGACCTTGGCCAGCCTTGCCGTGGGAGGGTGTGAAGCAGTGAGGGGAAGGGACAGATCTGAGCTGGGGACACACAGGTGAGCCTGGGGGAGTGAGCTTGCTGCTGCTTTTCATAGAATCATGGACTGGTTTGGGTTGGGAGGGACCTTGAAGATCATCCATTCCACCCCCTGCCATGGGCAGGGACACCTTCCACTATCCCAGGTTGCTCCAAGCCCCGTCCAACCTGGCCTTGGACACTTCAGGGATGGGACAGCCACAGCTTCTCTGGGCAACTCCAGGGCCTCACCACCGTTTGCTGCCAGGAAGGTGGTGCCATGGGGCTGGCAATTGCTGCAGCCCCAGGACGTGGCCTGGCCTTTGCCCTCCAGTGGCCCAGAGCTGGCTGCAGGAGCCCCAGTGCCAGGGCCAGCCCAAATGCACTGGCTGAGCCATTTCTCTGTGCCTGTTCTCAGCTGATCTCTTTTGCCACCCCCTGTTCTGCAGCACTGGTGGCTGGGTGGGCTGGCTGTGAGGCTGGCTGGGGCTGGGGCTCAGGAGCTCCCAGCTCTGATGCCCACAGTGTTCTCTCTGCTCAGGCTCTACTGCCTCAAGATCTACGGGCTGTCGTCCCTGTGGCGCCTGTTCCGGGGGAAGAAGTGGAACGTGCTCCGCCAGCGGGTGGACTCCTGCTCCTATGACCTGGACCAGGTAGTGCTGCAGCCCTGGGCTCACTACAGGACCCTGTGACGGGCCCTGTGACCCTGTCCTGCTCCAGCCAGCACGGAGACAGAAGCCATGGGAGGCTTTGTGGTGCCTGGAACAAGGACATGCCCCAACACTGCATCCATGGCTCCTCTGCTGTCCTGCAGCTCCCCTTCCCTTCCCCAGCCTTCCCAAACCTTCCCTTCATTCTCAGAGGGCTGAATCCCCCCGAGCTCCTGTCCCGGGCTGTGGTGGGCGCTGCAGCTCCTGCAGTCCGGGAGCCTGGAGCGGGAATGGGGGAGGGCTGGAGGCTGTTCCCGGTGCGGTGCCCGGCAGTGTTGCCACAGTAACAGCCGTGGCAGCGTTTCTATTAAAAGGCCCGGTTTCATTCACGTTGTGCTGGAGCGGGGCCCACTCGCTCTCACTCAGGCAGAGGCAGCTTTTTGTCAAGCACTGGAAGCTCTTTTTAATTCTGAAACGCCACACAAACGTCCAGCAGAGCCTGAACTGCTCCTTCTCTGGTGGCTGCAACATCACTGAAATCAGACAGTAATTTTGGGACTCCCACGGTCGGTGCTTCCCCCCTTTACAGCAGATAACCCTGAGCTTCCTGCACCACTGCTGGGCTGGTTTTGTTTCTCTGGAGATTAAAAACCTCCGTGCCAGGCTTGCATCAGGGCTCAGTCCCTGTGTGCTTTGAGGAGAATTGGGTTGGCACTCCAGGCTTCATCCTGCTGCTCTGGAGACCAGTGGGAATTGTGTCGTTGGCTGGGGAGGCAGAGACATTCAAAGCAGACCTTAAAAGACTTTTGGAGGTTTAAGCAACTGCAGTGGAGTGACAGAGGAGGGGAGAAACAACTGCTGTGAGGAGAATGGGTTGGGTTGTGATCTATTCCTGGTTATGAGCCTAAAGCTGGGATGCTGATCCACCTCTGTGACGTGGCTGGGGGGTTCTTTTCTTTCATATCCCTTTTTGCAGAAGTGGCAGTGCCCTGTGTTCCTGGGGCTTCTCTCTTCTGGAAGTGGTGACTGAAACTTGAAGAGTCAGGTCCCTATTTGTCATGAATGTGCATTTCTCCCAGGTGGAATTAGTTAGACTTGGGCTGACCCAGAATAAAAATAACTTTTCGTGTGGGCAGTGGAGCCAATGACACCTGCTTTCCATGGATTTTTTCCTTCTTCATCCACTGAATATTGCTCCCCCACCCCAGTAACTCCAGCTTCTTCCTCTCCCAGTTTCCCACTGAGCAAGAGGTAGAATTCCCGTGGCTGGTGCCTCAGGGAATGTTTATCAGCCAAATTCTGACAGCTTTTAACCAGGTGCCTGTTCTGCTAAACAAGGAGGAACAAAAGTACTTCTCAGTTCTCTACAAAATTTCCATCCAAATTTCCTCTTCTTTGTTCCTTTCCACAGTTTTCTGCTGAAAACTGATCCACCAAACTTTTGTGGATGTGGTGGGAACAAATGGCAAGATCATGTCAGTCTTGTTTCCTAAGGAAGCTGGGCTGAAATAGGAAATCTTGAGTGTTGTCTATAAAGGAAAATGCTGTCAGGATCCAGCTTTTATTTATCTTCCCAAACATACTCCTACAATAGAGAGCCTTCTAAGAAGGCCCAGTGAGAGGAGAAATGCTGAAAATATCCCAGGTAGCATCATTATTCACATAGGCAGTAAAAAACCACATTCAGGAGTCCTGCAAACTTCTGCTGCCTCACAGTCTCCTGTTTTTTATTTGTAATGTGTTTTATTTTGCCATTGCTCTGCTCATGATTGTGTTTCCTTTTTCCCCTAGTTATTTATTGGCACTTTGCTGTTCACCATCCTGCTGTTCCTCCTGCCTACAACTGCACTGTATTATTTGGTGTTTACCCTGGTAAGATTTAACCCTTGAAACAAGTCATATACTCTCTTCTGAGATAGTAAAAAAATGGTTTCCTAGACATTTATTGTCATCCATAAAGAAAATATAAATTTTGGGTGTCCTAGGAAGGATTCTCACACAGCTCAAGTGGAATTCAGGATGCATGTTTGTGTTTCTCTGAAGGGAATTCCCAGCAAATCCAAGCCAGCAGGGCAAACTGTTTCTCTCAGAAGCTGTTTTTCTATCTTTCCATCCCATGTCCGAGGTGACAGCCCCTGTGGTTTGATCCAGAACTTTTTTCCAGGGAATTGCTGTGTTAAATGCCCTCAGCCAGGCTTTGCTCAGACGCTGGGACTTCTTTTCTTCCCCCAACATGACCAGTCTCTCCCCAGAGCCAGACTTTCCACAGACAGTGACAATCACATGCTTTCAGCATCTTTTTTGAGCCTTCTCTTTTCAGATGAGCTTGGCAGCAAAAAATAACTGCAGTGTGACAAAAGGAGGTGCTTTAATCAGGGACAGAAAACATGGAGCAGGGAGCTCATTCCTGACTGCTCTGCTCTTGCTTAGACTCTGTATGGGGCAGAAATAAGCTACTTCAGCTCCCTGTTGGAGAGGGAAAAGTTGACATTGAGTGGTACACAGTGCTGGAGTTGACTAGAAATGGGAGAATTTGGGCTTCCTTTTCAGCTGTGGCTGTTGGAAGTGGAACAGGTCCCGTTCCTTGCAGGACTCCAGCCACAGGAGCTTCATTCCAGTTACACCCTTAAGCTCAGATTGCCGAGGATCCTCACCCAGGGTTTGGATGCTCAGCCCTTCTGGACATCAAACCCACTTTGGGAGGCTTTAGCTTAGCCCACAGGACTTTGGCTTAGCCCACAGCAACGTCAGATCCCAGCTCAGCTCATGAATTTCCAGGTGTTTCATCTCCTGTTTGCTGAGGTTCTCTGTTACGCTGTGTTTGTAGCTCCGATTACTGGTGGTGATTGTGCAAGGCCTCATCCACTTGCTGGTTGACCTGATTGACTCTCTGCCCCTTTATTCCCTGCTCCTTCGGCTCTGCAGATCCTACAGGCTCGCAGGTAAGTCCCTCAGCTCTGCCCCTAAAGCAGCTCAAGGATTTTGCATTTTACATCTAATTTTGATGCCCCTGGGTCACTCCTGAATAGAAAGATGCAGTGGGGGCAGGAAAGAACATGAGGCTTGAGTCATGCAGGTGTCCCTGCTGTTAACCAATTCCTGCAAGGAGCAGGGTGAGGATGTCAATGGAAAGAAATCTGATGCTGAAGCAGAATCACGAGCACCTTTCCTCAGTCCAATCCTGTGGCACCCAAAAGTGACATCCAAGCAAGCACCATATAAAGGAGTTCATCTTTTGTTCCAGTTCTAGAGCACCAGGTCAGGTAAACTTCAGAGAGTTAAGCATGTCATGAAGCTGTGCCAGGGGAGGTTTAGGTTGGATATCAGGAAAAGGTTTTTCCCTCAGAGGGTGGTGGGGCAATGGCACCCCAAGGCTGCCAGAGCTCCAGGAGTGTTTGGACAATGCTCTCGGGAAAGGGTGGGATTGTTGGGGTGTCTGTGCAGGGCCAGGGGTTGGATTTGGTGATCTCTGTGTGTCCCTTCCCACTCAGGATATTCCATGATTCTATGAAACAATGCCAATAACCCTGGCGGTTTGGGCTCTGCATTAAGCCAGATCACAAAAATACTTGGAATATTGGCTGTTCCAAAGGGCTGGATCTACAGTGGCTGCGAATCAGTGGAGCTGTTTCAGCTCTGTGCTGACCTGACCAAGTGAAACCCTGTGCTGAGGAGTTTGGATTAAGTTCAAAGCTCTGGGCAGAGTTCAGATCATCATTGTCTTTTTGAGACTAATCTGTCACCATTTTGAACTAGTCATTGTTTTCCACTTTGGGTAACCAAAAACCATGGCTGGCACCAGAGTAAGGCTCATTTTGGAATGAATTTGGCTGTCAACAACTGTGGTTGATCTGGTTATGGTCAAGCACATCTAAATTATTATCTCCTATCCATTTAAAGAGCAAGCAGCAGGAATTTAACACGGGAGAAAGAGTTTGCTCATCACTAAACCAAGGCTAGTCATCAAAGGCAGGGGAGCTTGAGGCAACCTCAGCTTGAGGCAACCTCGGCAGTCTGTTGGAGCTGTGCCATGCTCAGTTTTGGGAAGGTAGAGCTGAGCCATGTTACCAGCTCTGCCTTCAGCAGGTTCCTATGAATTTCCTGGCAGAAACCTCTTACCCCTTCAGGGCTATCTTTGGGGAGATGCTGCTGAAGAAAACAGAGCCAGTAAACAGCAGGTCACGGGGCAGAGGGAAATCTCATTGCCACTGAGAGATGTATCCCTGATTTATCCCTAGAAGTGTTCAAGAAACAACTGGATGTGGCACTCAGGGCTATGGTTTAGCTGACGTGGTGATGTTCAGTAAAAGGTTGATCTTGATGATCTTGGAGGTCTTTTCCAACCTCTCTGATTCTGTTTAAGACCACATATTCCCCTCAATCTTGGAATGCTTCTCATTCTTGCTCAGCCAGGTCCCTACTGCAGGGTAAGAAGCCTCCACCCAGGCACGGGGTTGTCCTCCCAGCTGAGTTTTTTAACTGATCCTGCAATGCCATGGTGTCTGTGAGATGAAGAGGCAGCTCTGAGCATTTCTGCAGCCTGTGCTCCTGCCCCAGCACAAAAACATGGCATTGCAGTGGGAACAGATGGAGCAGTTGAATCCAGTTCAAAGGACTTCAGAGAGCACACATCTCCTGGTGTCCTCACTGCTTGGGTTCTGCCTCCCTTTTCGGACCCAGAACTTGGATAAGAGACCCCCTGGCACGTGTTACAGCAGCTGATTTTACAGGCACCATCAAGATGGTTCTACCAACATGAATGGGCAGTTTTTGCTGGCAGGAAAGGTTTACTGTCATGTTTAAGTTGAGCTCAGTTCACTCATGGCATTTGGCCTCCAAGCTCCTTCACTCAGGGGGGCCTGCAAAGAAGGCTGGAGAGGCTCTTTTTGCAAGGGCAAGCAGTGACACAACGATGGGGAATGGCCTTAAGCTGAAAGAGGGGACATTTAGATGGGATATTGGGAAGGAATTGTTTCCTGTGAGGGTGGTCAGGCCCTGGCACAGGTTGCCCAGAGAAGCTGTGGCTGCCCCATCCCTGGAAGTGTCCAAGATGGGGCTTGGAGCAACCTGGGCTGGTGGAAGGTGTCCCTGCCCATGGCAGGGGTGGGAAACTGGATGATCTTCAAGGTCCCTTCCAACCCAAACCACTCCATGATTCAGAGACTCAGTGACTTGGCAAAATACCCCATTGATGAAGCCTGGGCCAGAGTAGGTGAATGACCCATATTTGGCCATATTTGCTTTCCACAGATCCAAAGTGAAATATTTGTGACCTTAAAAAGCCTTTTGTGCATCCATCAGCTGATGTCCTCTGTACAAGAGTTGTGTCCACCCAGTGTCAGCTCAAGGGGTGCCACCTTGGTTGGGATGTGGATGCATAGGGTGAAGTAAGGCATAACAGTGAGTTTGGGGGGGCTCAAGAGCTCTGCCCACACACAGGTTACCAATATGCTGTTTGATTGTGAACAGGCCAGTTCATTTTCTCTGTGTTTCTCTGTCCCAGTATTGCCATCCTGAAGGTTGGGACAGGTTTTGTCGTGGTTCTATAGGACCTGTCATGCTACTGTCTCTCTGATCAGTGGGATACAAACAGGCAGTGAGCTCACTTTAGTGTGCTGTCCTGTGAAACAAAGCAAAGGAGTTCATGTCCTGGTCTCTCTTTGTGCCACTGATGGTGCCTTTGTGCAGAAGAAGCAGAACCCTGAGTTCTGGAGTTGCCTGGAAATCATGGAATAGTTCAGGGTTCTTCTCTGCTGGAGTGACCTGCAGGAGACTGAGCCTTCCTGCTCCTCCTGAGAAGTGCTCAGACTTCTGAGCACTGTGGGAATCTGTAGGTCATTCTAAAATAAATTTATGGCCTTTTTCTGCATCTATTTTCTTAGAAGTTTCGGACTCTTGAGCAATTAAATAACCTAATTAAGAGATGGTTGCTTGCAGCTGTGGAAGGGAGGTGTGTGGCCATGACCTACAGAACCAGCTTTTGCTGCCCTGGTGGACTGTTGTAGGATAAGGCACCAGAGTGCTTGGCCCTGTACCTGAACCTTCACTGCCTGTTGTTTCTGACTCTCTCTGACAAATTCTGCCTGAAAATAGTTCCTGGAATGGCTCAGACACTTCTTCTTAGCCTCAGCTCTGAGATCACACTGAACACTTTGTCATCCAGCACATTTGCTTGTTGAGGCCCAGGGTACTCAAACATCTGTTTGAAGCCACTGGAGGAGCCCATGTTTCAATATAATCCAGCAAAATGTATATAAACCCCTCCTGTCCCGGCCAAAAAGGTTTTATGGTTTGGGCAGAGGGTTTAAACCAGAGCTCTGTGCTACAGAAGAGAGTTCTTTCCCAGGAGTGAACTATATAATTTTAATTAATTCAAAGCTTGAGGAAAAAGAGGAAACATTTTGGTTTTTAAATGTTCAGGAGTCACAGAGATACTGCAGTGATGGGGTTTACACAGGTGTTATTTCTGTTTGTGCTCCTGAGGCAGTGTTTGATCTGTGGCAGATCACTTTTGTTAATCTTGTCTCACCTGCAGAAAGGAATAACAGGGACACACTTGGATGGGACAGGTTTATCCAAGAGGAAATAGAAAAGTGGCAGGTTTGATGGGGTTAGGAGCCTGTTAAAAACATCAGGATGCTGAGATTAATGGGCAAGGATTGCTCTGAAATGTTTTCATGCCTCTAGTCAGCCACTTTCCTCCCTCAGTCTGAAAGAGGGAGAGATTTGCACATGTGCTGGATCCACATGAGCACAAGTTAAAGGTGAGCCCTCTGCCTGCTCTGAACGTGGAGTTCCCGTTCTGATGGAAGTTTGGGGAAAGAGAAAGGTTTTCCCAGTCCCTTTGTCCTCATCAGGTCTGGCTGGCTGATTTCTGGGCTTTGTGCTTGCTTTAGGGCAGTGTTCTCAAGCTGGAAGTCAGAGGAGCTTCTTTTAATGGAGCTGAGGGAAACACATCATTTGGAATTAGCCTTAAACCACTGTGAGAGGATCCTGTTGAAAAAGTGAGGAGGTTCCCAAATCCAGGAAGGTTTAAGACAGTTTGTAAGGAATCAGTGCTCAGACAACAGCACTGGGTAACAAATGGCATGGAACCAGAGAATATCCTGAGTGGGAAAGGATCCACAGGGATCATCAAGCTCAGCTCCTGGCCCTGCACAGAACAGTCCCAAGAATCCCACCATGGATTTCCTTGTTTTGTGTCTTTGCAGCTGGAGTGAAGTTCAGAGTCCTGGAGCAGCAGGATGGGAAACCTCTGCGGCTCCTCATGCAGGTAAGGCCCTGGTGCCCTCTGTGACAATTGTGCCACTGCCCTCAGAGTGACCTCAGGCACACAGTGGGGAGGGGCCTGTGCAGGGCCAGGAGTTGGACTCGATGATCCTGGTGGGGCCCTTCCAGCTCAGCATGTTCTGTGAATCTGTGACCCCACAGACCTTCCCTGTCCTGTAGCTGCTCCCACTGAAAGGCTCCACTTAAAAGATATCAATCAGCTGTAAAACACTGGAACAGGGGAAATGATTTTCCATTGCCATGGCTGGCTGTGCTCTCTCTGCTTTTTGATGCCCTGCTGGAGTCCTCTGGAGAAAATGTAGTGCCCTGCATGGTGTGAAGTGAAATGCAGGAGAAGAAGGGGAGGCAGGAGAAACATGGAGCTGTGATACTTCTGGCATTGAGACCTGATGTCCTTGTCCCCTCCTGGCTCTGGCAGCTTCCCCTTGGCAGTTGCTAAACACTGAAAGGAGCAACAGGAAGCAGTTGAACCATCCAGAATGAAGCACCAGGAAAGGTCCTCCCCTCCAGCTGTGGTGAAAAGCCTTGGCTGCTCCACGGTGCCAACAGGATGAGAACCTGAGCCTGGAGAAAGGGAAGGGCCTCCTGCTTTTCTCCTGAGTTGCTCTGGGAAGGTGCATGGGCATAGCTCACCTGTGCTTTTGTAACCCTGCATTTCCACCCTCTGACATCAGAGACACTGAAGGAAATTATTTTCTGAAAAGAAAAGAGGTGGTGGTAGCAGGGAAGTTCTTATGCTTTCAGGAGCGAATTTTCCATTCCCTGACCCAGCAGGAATACAGCCATATCCCAGGGTGGCTTTTCTTGCTCTCTGCATCCTAAGAGGAGAGGCTGCAAGTAGCAAAGCACTTATAAAACACTTGGACACTGGGGCAGTGTGTGGGAAGGAATTAACTGCAGCTTCCCAGTTCCTTTGCTTTTTCCATCTTGGGTCCAGCCCCGTTTCTAAAGGTCAGGCCAGCAGGGAACAGCACAGCAGCTAGCAGCAATTCCAGAGGGAATCCCTTCAACAGATGTCTTCCAGGGCAAATCTAGCATTCCCTGAGCGTGCAGTATTCCCAGTTCCTGTCTTTCAGTAGGATAGTGGTGTAAGAACCAAAATCCATCGTCCTCCATGGCCAGAGAACTCCCTAAAAAGGAACCCAGACAGCAGAGATGAGGCACAGGAGCTTTGGCATCAGAGTGTGTGTGGATGAGCTGGATGGGCTCTCCAGAGGGAAAAGATCCCCACTTAAAGAGCAGAGGCAGTGAGTCATATGACTGTGATGAATTTTCCTTGGACCACTGCAGGAAGATCCATTTGCTATCTGGAATGTAGCACAAGTCATCATCTGGAGAGGTGGAAGTGCTGCAGTGGGTGTCTGTCCCAGCCTTCTGTTCAAATAATAATGAGCAGAGAGTCAGGAAAGGCACTTTTTTCACTCTCTTTGTGCTGGTGGAAGTGAAAAATGGGCTGGTGTTAGAAATCCTGCTGAATACCCCACTTTCTGATAGGCCTTTGGAGAGGACTATCTAAAAAGCTTGTTTTTAAGAGACATGCTAAAATTCTTATTTACTCTACAAGGTGATGTGCCTTTCTAGAATTTTCACAGTGGCTTTGCCCCCTCTCCATGTAACTCTCCTGGAGCTCTGCTTGATGGAAATGAGGCTGTTTGCATGGAGCTGGGCTCAAAATAATTGAAGCTGTAGGTGACTGATACGTTCAGAGCTGCCCTTTGGGACACTGCTAATGGATTAGGAATCAATAATCCTGGGTCTGAGCATTCCCATCCAGCTCATGCTTCAGCCAAGTGATTATTTTTGATTTTTAAGATAGTACCATTGGAATGCAAAGTCCAGACACAGGGGGGATGGAGGGCAGGGAATGATATTTCCATTCCAAATGCTACTTAATATTCTCCAGGAAGTCTTACATAGGTCAGTGTTTTCGTTAGTGCTTAAAATCATTTCTTTTGATGCATAAGAAGAAATAATTCTGGCAGTGTGGCTCAACTGAACTGAGAGCCCAGGGAAAGACTGGCCTTAAACTGAAGGAGGGCAGGTTTGGATGGGATATTGGGAAGAAACTCTTCCCTGTGAGGGTGGGCAGGCCCTGGCACAGGTTGCCCAGAGAAGCTGTGGCTGCCCCAACCCTGGAAGTGTCCAAGGCCAGGTTGGACAGGACTTGGAGCAACCTGGGCTGGTTGAAGGTGTCCCTGCCCATGGCAGGGGGTTGGAATTGGATGAGTGTTAAGGTCCCTTCCCACCCAAACCAGTCTGGGATTCTCTGATTTTATGATTCCGGGACATGAGGAGTTTGATCCATCCTGCTGCTGGAAGTGTCACCTTTCCCAGCAATTGCTTTGAGAAGGGTTAAGCAGGAGAGGAAGGGAAAGGGAACAGCTCCATTATGAGAGGAGGATGGATATTCCAGCAGGGAATATCACAGCTTTGATCTGCAGGACTTGCATAAGGGGAACTTGTGTTGGCACCTCACTTACAGATGGGCTTTGCCTGATGTTTCCATTTTTACCAGGAGAGAAGGGAATGTGTTGCTCTGGGTGCAGCCCCATCCCTGGAGATGTTTTAGTGGAGAAGTGTTGGTATCCACACTCTGCCTGGAGATGCTTCTTAACAAGAACTGTTGTGTCCAAACCTTCCAGCCCACGGAGCCAATAGTCAAAGGAACACACACTGTGTGTCTCTTGCAGAGCAGCAGTTCCTGTCCTCCCCCAGCATGTTTGCACTTCAACAGACTGCTTTGCCTACAGTGAGGGAATGGGCAGAAACAGTTACTCAGGTTTTACTGCTGTTTGTTCTGGGAGCAGCTTTCTTTGGCTTTCTTTTCTTTTTTTTCCTTTTTTTTTTAATTTTTTTTTTTAAATTTTTTTCCCTGCAAGCTGCAGCCCTGGCCTTTTTCCAGAAATTCCTAGGGATGCTTCAGTGTACTGGCATTTTCCCCTTCTGCCTCAGCAATGTTGTGCTTTGAAACTAATTTGACAAAGGTCTCCAGGATGAATTCTAATGAGCCTTTTGCTCAACCATCCTTTCCCAGAGCTCCATCCTTGTAGTTCACCCCCTTGCTCTGTGAGCACCAGAAAGTTGAAGCAAGCTGGTGGTACAGGCACACTCCTAGAAAACTGGATACATTTCAGTGGAAACATTCACCTTTTGACCAAGTGGTGTCTTTCTGCATGGTTTTTGCTGTCTCTCTTTGCTTTTTGTGGCTGGATTTTCTGCTGTGAATTGGAGTCTTCTTTCATGGAGCTGCTTGGTTGGTTCCAGCAGAGCTGGACCCTTTCACTTGAGGATGTCCTTCCATTCTCCCCAGTGTCCAAGCGTCCTCTAGCTCTGTAAGTCCCTTTCCTTGGCATCTCTCATGGTCTGTTTTCTGAGCCCCACCATTTCTGGGCAACCTTTTTGCTCTTTTGGAGACTCTCTATTGCTGTGCAGCCTTTAGATGTGTCAGATCTTGGCCCCATTGGATCCATCCCGTGGACTTCCCTTGTCTCCTGCCCTGAAAGCACTGGGATGAGCTTTTCCAGGGTCTGATGTACTTCTGTCACCCCTCATCCAACCAAAGCCTCTGTCTGCCCCCCATCTCCAAAAGGTCAATAAAGCAACTTGGGACCCTAAGCAGAGCTTTTGTAGGCACAGGTTAGGATGGTGATTGAAATCAAATTTTAAAAGATGAACTCAGCCAAGGAGATTTAATTGAAAATGGTGATTTCCAATAGGTAAAACTGGGGAAAATGAGGAAAATAATAGTGGTAATTATTTTGGAGTGTGATCCTGTCCTGGACTCAGTTCCACTGGGTGGTGGCATGAGGTGATACCAGGTCTAACTTAAAGCACAGCTGTGGGCTGAGGGCTCATATAAGTCATGGCTTCACTGGCCCATTCCAGAAGAGTCCCAGTGCATCCCCCATCCATGGGGGGTATTATTAGATATAAGTTCAGATCAGATATTAAGGAAAATTTCTTCTCTAAAAGGGTGGTCAGGCCCTGGCCCAGCTGCCCAGGGCAGTGGTGGAGTCCCCATCCCTGGAGCTGTGTGGATGTGGCACCTAGGGACATGGGTTAGTGGTGGCCTTGGCAGTGCTGGCTTAAGGGTTGGACTCAATGATCTTAAAGGTCTTTTCCAACCTAAACAATTCCATGGCTCTGGGATTCTCTCACTGTCTCTGCAGCCACTGCCACGCCCTCACACAGGAGGGGACAGTGAGTGACGTGTGTCACTGTGTCACTGTCATTGCACCAGCACCTCTGCTGCCTCTGCTTGGAGATGATCTCAACAACATCCCTTGCCAAGCTCCACTTGTTCCCGTTTGGGGATGTTGTAGAAGGACCAACAGCCTTACCAAGGCAGGGAGACATTCTGGTGCTTTGTGAGCAGCAGGACTGATGTTTTAGCAGAGGCTGGTGCTGGGCAGAAGCTGCACTCGCCCTCCCCAGCTGCCTGGGCCTCTCACCACACGTTTTCCTTGCTGCTGCCCCTCTTTTCTCCCACAGATCAACCCTCTCTCCTATGGTGCTGTTGTACAGACATACAGGCTGCCCACCTACAGCTGTTATCCCAAGGACTCCTGGGCATCTCTCTGCAAGAAGCTGTTCCTTGGAGAGCTGATCTACCCTTGGAAACACAAAGGAGAGAAGCAGGACTAAAGACAGTGAAGGAGCTGGAGAACTTGGCCAGAAAAACACACTGAATCCTGATGCTTTAGGACCAAAGGCTTCTTGGAGCCAGCAGCTGCTGTTAGCCCTTTAAATAGATTTTGGTAACGTGAGAGGGGCTGAATTTTTAAAGGCAAGTATTTTTAATCGTTATTTTTCAACTGTCCTCTTCCCTTACACTGTGTTTGTGTAATATGCTAATGATTATTTTGGAAGGAAAAGGTTAACCCCGTCAGTGCCTCAGGAAACCAGCCCTCAGTGTCACAAAGGTTTGGGGGTGAATGTCTCCTGCCATGCTGGCTCACAGGGCCATCCCCTGGGGAGGTTCAGAGCCACAGTGCTGAGGTGCATTTGGCTAAAGGGTGTTTTGGACATTTTATGCCTCAGCCTTCCAGCTGGTCAAACACAGGGTGGAGGATTGTCTTGTGAAGTCACACACTGAACAGCAGCTTGTGTGGGTTCAGAGAATATGTATTCTCTTCCCTTTGGGAGGGTTTGGATTCAGCCCCGCTGCAGCACCAGAGGTGTTCAGCACAGACACAGGGTGCTTGTGTGGTCTCACCTGCATTGTTTTCCAAAGCAAACAGTGCTGGGGGGAGAGCTGAGCCCTGGGCTGACACGAGCTGAGCACAGAGCCCAGAGCCTCAGACTGAGCCTGAGATGAGCTCAGTTGGTTAAACCTTGGTGCTAATAAAGCCAAGGTCACAGGTTCAGTCCCCTGTGTGGGCCATTCCGTGATGCTCGTGGGTCCCTTCCAGCTCAGAGCATTCTGTGGTTCTGGGGCTGCCCAGGTGTGTGCCCTGAGCCCTGGCACAGAGAGCTGGGGGCTCTGCCAAGGTTCAGGGCTCTCCAGTCCCAGTGGAGGCTCACAGCTCTGCTGGGGGGCTCAGCCCAGCTCCTTGCCCAGCTCAGCCAGCTCAGGGCAGCCTGGGCTGCACCCCCAGTTTCCAGGGCCCTGGTGAGACCCTCATCAAGGACTCCCTCATTTTGCACTTCCTGACAGTCAAGGAGCTTTTAAAATCTTGGGTGTGAGGCATTTAAAGCCACTCTTTTCCCTGAAACTATAGGTCTAGTGGAAGCTGTCCCTGCCCATGGCAGGGGGTGGAACGAGATGAGCTTTAAGGTCCCTTCCAACCCAAACCGTTCTGTGATTCCATGATTTCTCTAAGGGGAGATTTCCTGCTTTGAATCCACCTCCACAGTACAGCAGTGCTCTGTTTCTCGTGTCCTGGTCTCATTTTGACGTGTCTCCTGTTCTCTGTCTTGGAAGGAGTGGCTCTGTGCACAGGAGGGTTGTGTCCCTCTGGATACTCTGTAGTTGTGTAGGCATTTACACGCAGTCCTTACCCAGAATATCCTTCCTCCAGCTCTGCTGGCTGCTGTGGCCCAGCTCAAACAAGGGTGCAGTGTCCCTGGACCCTGCTTTGCACACCCAAGGTGGCTCTGTTAACTGGCAGATGAGGGGTGTGCTGGTCCTGCCCCCTTTTCTTCTGGCTGTCCAAGGAACCAAGGATGGAGGACGAGGAGGAGGAGGATGTGCTGTGGCTCAGCCCTTCTCTGGAGGGCTGCCTGTGTATCCCAGCGGGAATTATGGAGGCAAGGCAAGTGCCCTGGGCTTCGGGAGCCTTCACTCAGCACTTGCAGGGGCAGGATAAGAGTTTGCTGCCCCGTGTGCTGGAGGCTGTCACAGGAGAGGCAGGTTACGACCCCACTGCCTTAAGACAACCCTGGCCAGATATATTTGGGTTGTCTGGAGCTGCTAAAAGCCTGTCATGGTGCATCCACTGCCTGTCCAGTCACAGCCTGATCAGGAGGAAAGGAAGCTCTGCAGGCTGGTGCTTGGTCCAGACATTCCTTAGCGGGCAAATCTCCAAGGCCTTCCAGGTTTCTTGGGGACATCATGAAGAGAGGAAGGGCTGTGTGGCCCCTGCTCCCAAAGGATGTCCTGTTACCCCATCCAGGGCACCTCACTGAAGAAAGCCAGCATGGCAAAACCCCCCATCAGCATCTGCCACTGCAGGCTCTGGGTGGGACATCCCTGCCTGCAGAAACTGGAGGGATCTGGTTCCTCCCTGATGATCCCTGCTGAAAACTCCTGTACAAATGCAGCATCTTCTTCTCTTGGAATACCAACTGCCCAGGTATTTCTCACTCCAGGGGGGAATAACTCCAGGCAGTGATGCCTTTAGTGGATGAATGGTCTGAGTAATGTTTCTCACTTCAGCTGAAGTCAGTGCTGGAGTCCCATCCTCACCTGGCTCTCAGCAGAGCAGGTTTACATGTTACTTCCCTCTCATCTTTCCACTGGAGCTACTAAATGATATCCCTGGTTCCTCCCAGGCCTGCACAGTTCAGCTCACCGACTGCTGTGAGAAACTTGGTTATTTTTGGTCTTGTGGAAACAACGTTCCTGGCTTTTAAAATCTTCCTGTGAGACCAGACAGTTCATGATGGTCTTAGTTGGGATTGTCCTTTGGGATCAAGTGACCTGAAAGCCCCGGAGACAGCACAGAGCCATGAAAAGCAGCAAATGTGACCTTCCTTTTGGGAACCTGCCAGATGTGTTTGATGTTCCAGTGTTGGGTTTGTTTACTAAAGGCTGATGCTGCCTCTGGGGATGGGGAAATACCAAACTGAGAGAAAGCTCCTCCTCAGACCTGAGATCCTGAATCTTCTGAGACACAGAGAGCCCTGAGCACCCAGCTGGGCAGTGGCAGCTCCTTGGGGGTGCAGTTCTCCTGTGTCACCCAGAACTGCTGCCCTAGCTGTCCCACTGCTGCCCCCCTGGGTGCACTCCTCTCCTGTGGTGGTATCTGAGCATCTGAGTTCCTTGGGCTGGATCTTTGCCACGTCTCTCCTCTTCCTTTCCAATCCCTGCTGTGGAACAAGTCTTCCCCCACCCTTTTCCGACTCTGTGCACAGACATTACAACAGCTCAGCAGACATCCTGCTCAGGAACACTTGACCTTATGTCATCCCCCTAATTAGAAGTTGGGATCAGCATCATCTTCCACAGCAGCACAGACTGGCCCAGTGCTGGCATTTCCTCAGGGAAGAGGCTGCTGGTGAGGTTCTGGCTCTGATTTCTCCTCAGATCCGTGTTTTCCATGTCAGCCCTTGGATGAGAAGTAGTTAAAGGTTTTCAGATCTCCCATTCCTACCAAACCCCCTTAGAGCAGGCACAAGGAGGCTTTGCCAACCATCAGTCAGACTCTGATCTTGCAGAGTTTTTTTAATACTGCATTTTCTAGCTATTATTTCTCCCACCCTGTGGTTCCCAGTGCTGGCACAAACCCCCTCTGTACTTAGGCAGGCGGTTTGTGAGGGAAAACGTGATTCATTGTGTGCAAAACTCCATCCTAGATAGAAATTCTGCCTTGGAGAAATCCTTTCCTTTCCTCACCAGCACAGCATGTGACGATGCTGAAAGGAAACCTCAGTAATTGCACTGCACTGAAGGCTCTGGTTGTGGGTTTGGGAGTTTTCCCTGATCCTGCAGCTGGACTGGGCCCCATTCAGACCCACACAAAGGGGGTTCCACACGTGTATAACCCGTAGGTTGACTTTCAGGAGCATAAGGCAGGGAAATCTCCTGTGTTGTCATCCTGCAGACCACCAGCTGCTTTCCTTCTGGCCTGTGCTGCCTCATCCTGCTGTCCCAACACCAACTTCTTGCTTAACTCGAGCCCTCAGGGATTTACTGTCTGTCCTTAGACCTGCTGGTTGCAGCAGCCACTGGTGGGGTTGGGAGGGACCTCAGGGTCCCCTGGTCCAGCCCCGCTGCTCACGCAGGGCCACCCAAAGCTGTTGCCCAGGACTGTGCCCACATGCCCTTGGGATATCTCCAAGGGTGGCAACTCCACCCCCTCCCTGGACAACCTGTGCAGTGCTTGGTCACCCTCAGAGTGAGAAGCTCTTCAGCCAGGGTTTGATGTGTTCCAGTTCGTGCCCATCGCCTTTTGTCCTGTTGTGCCAAGCGTGGAGACCCCATAACCCAGATCTCTGCAGTGACTGAGAACATCTGCAGTCCTGTTCCACCTCTGTTCCTGCCCCCCCCTATTCAGGGACTGTCCAGCAGCCCCTTTGCCTCTTGGGGGGGTGTCCAAGCCCTCTGGTTTAGGGTGCCCATGCACTGACTCAGGTACCTGACCTGCTCCTCGCCTGCTGCTCTGCACTTGCTGAGAGCACTTGCAGTGCAGCCCCACTGCTGCTGTGCTGAGCACAGAGGGCTGGGCACACACCCCCAGCCTGGCAGTGCCCACGGGTCGGGAGCAGCTCTGTGTGGAGCCCTGAGGCTCTGCAGGGTGAGTGTGCTGTGAACACAGATGGGATGGGTCTGGATCCCCCACGTGACAGGAGGCCATGGGGCTTTCCAGCTGCATCAGGAGCTTTTGGGGGCAGGATAAAAATGTTCAGAGCAATCCAAACCTCACGTGGGCAGCTGATTTGTGTTCCTGGATGAGAACAGTGTGCCCATCACCTTTGCATCTGGCTCAGCATTTTCCATGAGCAGTTGCTCAAGAGTCTGTTGCCTTTGACTCCCAGCTGGCACCTCCAGTCCTTACCCACGCCAAGGCCTCAAACCAGGAATGCTCTAACTCCCCATTTACTGCCTCAGCAAGCCAAATACAAGGAGGATCCCTGTGCTGCTGGATGCTGGAGGTGACAGAACATACTCCCTGCATTCCCAGAGGCAGGGGAGGTGCTGGCTGTGCTGCTTGAGGGGAGCAGCAGAGCTGGGGCCCCGCTCTGTGCTCGCTCAGGGCAGGGAGAGGCAGCAGCACCTCTCCCATCCACAGTGTTATTCAACCTCTGGCACTGGGGAAATTCGTGAGAACTTCACAACTCTTGGAATCCATCCTCCTGCTTCCAGTGTTTCCTGGTTTAAAGTGTCATGAAAGAGCACTGAATCACTGACAGTTGCACTGAAACTGTGTGTTTGTGAGTGAAGTTTGAGAGGAAGTTTGATCACTGCTTAAAAACCACTGGTACATTTTCTCCTCCTCTCACATGAACCTTCAGCAGGAGCGAAGTGTGACACAGTTTGCTTTAAATGTCACCACTAACCCCAGCTAAGGTGACTTCCTTCCCACCCTGGTGCTGATGTGAAACGCAGCCTGGTGATGTGAAACACAGACTGGGCCAGTGCACCAGGCCAGGAACAAGCCCTGCCTGAGGAATCAGACTGGCTTCAGTGCTCATGGCAGCTCTGTTTGTGCAGGCAGAAGTGCTGGGCAGAGCAATGGCAATGCCAGCAGGGCAGTGACAGGGGCAGCAGTGCCAGTGGCAGCCGGTCCCTGCACAGCTGGGACCAGGGATGCTCTGCACATACCACTCACAGGTGCTTCTGTGGGAGAGTTTAGGGATGGAGAGCTCTGTTCTGCTGACAGGTGTGGGGTTTTTTGGTTAGTTAAACCTTTTAATCAGAACTTAAATGGATTTTGATTACACTCTAATAAAGATGTTGGGAGAGAAAAATTGAACTCCTCCCTCTTGTTTAACAAGCTCTGTGTGGCTGCCACAGCTTATCCAGGCAGGCAGCTCATCTCCATCCTGAGGCCTGGCTGGGCAGTTCCTCATCCTCTGCTCTCACACACAGAGGGATTTCACCACTGGTCCAGCTCTAATTGTCCTGCCAAGGCTGTGAAGTCCATGGAAGGAGGAGCCCTGACCCAGCTGATCCCACCTCAGGCCTGGGACAGGGTTGAGGTGATGCTCCTCCAGCCCTGGGATTTCCTGCAGTTCAGTGAGGGGTTCCTTGAGCCTGTTGCTGTGGGGTGGTGCTGTTTGGTGTGAGGGGCAGGATGGGAGGACAAACCTCTGCAGCACTGCCCAATCCGAGCAGGAACCCAAACTGGGCTGGGAATGGGGGGGCCTTGTGACCACTCCTCTCCTCCTCACCCCAGAGCACTCCCTCCCTCCAATTCCATTCCCTTCCCCTTTCATCCAGCTGAGTGCACAGCCGTGGCAAAGTCCCCACACTGCACCAAGCCCCTGCCAAGATCCCCCCTCTGCCAGGATCACCCTCTAGCTCTGCCTCACCCCCTCTTGCCATGATTCCCACTGCTCTGGGCTCCAGCTGGGTTTCCACCATCCCAGCGAGGTGAGAAATCCCTTGACTGAGCCGTGAATGGGGTCCTGTGGAGTGGCAGGACTGAGAGCCAGGGGCTGAAACAAGAGAAATAAAATGGAGGAGGTTCCTGCCCGTCCCCCTCCTCTCCACTTCCACTGCTTTGGAGCCAATGGGCTGATGGACAGAAATGAGAGGAGTGGCTCTGCATCCCCCCTCACCCTGTGAGCACTGGAGCCAGTCCAGAGGAGCCCATGGAGATGCTCCCAGGGCTGGAGCCAGGCTGGGAGAGCTGGGGGGGTTCACTTGGAGAAGAGAAGGCTCCAGGGAGACCTGAGAGCCCCTGCCAGGGCCTAAAGGGGCTCCAGCAGAGCTGGAGAGGGACTGGGGACAAGGGATGGAGGGACAGGACAAGGGACAATGGCTTCCCACTGCCAGAGGGCAAGGTTAGATGGGATATTGGGAAGGAATTCCTGGCTGTGAGGGTGGGGAGGCCCTGGCACAGGTTGCCCAGAGAAGCTGCAGCTGCCCCATCCCTGGAAGTGTCCAAGGCCAGGTTGGACGGGGTTTGCAGCAACCTGGGCTGGTGGAAGGTGTCCCTGCCCATGGCAGGAGGTGGGATTAAGATGGGTTTAAGGTCCTTTCCAACCAAAATATGCCTGCGATTCCATGACCTGCCCTCCCCAGACTGGGTGGGTTTAGAGCCCCTGAGGGGCAGGGATGGGGCACAGGAGGGCCCTTGTCCCCAGAGCTGTGGGGCACCGGGGTCCTGCCACGTTGGGGGTGCTCAGATGGGTATCCTGGTGCCCAGAGCTGTGTCTCAGCCAGCTGAGGACTGGTGGATTCACCACTGCCCAGGCCCTGGCACTGCACTGCCTGCTCTCAGCCCACCCCACTCTAGCCCCTTTTACAGATCCCCCTTTGCCAGCCCCACTTTTGGGGGATCTTTGCCAGAGGAGTCACACCACCACTGGCACCACTGGCACTGCTGTCCTGGCCCTGCCTGTGAGGGGACAGGGAGTCAGCCCCGCTGGGAAGGACAGGCTTGGGCAGCAATTAATGTTTTATAAAAGCAAGAAGTCTCAGTGCTGCTGCTGCTGCAACGTGAGGAGCACAAGCCAGGGCACAGAGCAGGAGGAGGAGGAGGAGGAGGAGGAGCTGACTCACCAGAGGGAAGGAGCCGGGGGGAGCCTCAGCCTCCCTGCAGGCTGAGGGGCATCCCTGCTGCTCCCTGGGCTGGGGGACACAGGGCATTTTAGATGGGATTCATTGGGAACATCCCCAGTGGGATGTGCAGCTCTGAAAAGAGGAGCAGGATGCTGTGCTGGGCACAGGGACTTGTCCTCCACACCTTCCACCTTCCCATTGGGAATCCCCTGGGACTGGCCCTGGGAGTGGCTCCTCACGGATGCCGGACCAGTGCCAAGGGATTCCGATGGAGTGGTTATTGGTGTCACAGCCCTTCCTGGGGACAGGCCCAGCCTGGTAGCCCATGGCTGGCACCATCCCTGCGGACACGCTGGATGTCGCCTGCCCAGCCCAGCCCTCAGTGAGTATCCCGTACCCTCCCTACAGTGGAGTGCACACACCTCCAACGCCCCGAGAACCCACACACGGGCCCTTCTCATACCTGGGTGTCCCCAACACCTGGATGCCCCCCTAGATACCCACCCACACCTGCATGCCCCCCATAAATTGATGCCCACCCACTCGGATGCCTCCTCACAGCTGGGTGCTCACACACACACCCTGATTGCCACCCCTTCCTGGAGGATACTTGGATGCCCCCCAATCTCTGGATCCCCCAATCCCTGGATGCCCCCAATCCCCGCATCCCTCCAATCCTTGGATCTCCCCCGCCCGTCCCATCACGCCCCGCTCTCCGCAGTGCATGCCGGGAGTTGTAGTCCTTCCCCGCCCACCCCGCCCCCCGAGCGCTCCGGGTAAGGGCGGGGCGGGGCCGACCGTGACTGACGCGTAGCTGAACCTATGGGAGCGCAAATATCTGAGCGGGGGCGGGGCAGTTCCTGACTGACTGTGTGTGGCCCAATAGGCGCGGCGGGCGGGGGCGGGGCGGGGGCGCGCGGCGAGGCGGCCCGGCCCGGCCCGGCTCAGGTGGGCGGCGGGGCCGGCGGGGCTGACCCGGCGCGGGGCTGGGCCCGGCGGGGCGGGGCGGGCTCGGGCCGCGGGGCCCGGCGGGGCGGCGGCGCTTTGTGCGGGCGGGAGGGCGGAGCGGGGCCGTGTCAGCCGCGGGGGCGCTGCGGGGCCGGGCCGGGCCCTTCCTCCGCCTCCTCCTCCTCCTCCTCCGCCGCAGGTCCCAGCGCGGCCCCGGCGGAAGATGCGCGGCCGGCGGTGAGCGGCGCGGGGCAGAGGCCGCAGCCCAGGCCGGCGGGCGGAGGATGCGGGCCGGGCCGCGCCGGCCCTGAGAGGCAGGATGGGCACCCAGGGCAGCCCCGTGAAGAGCTACGATTACCTGCTCAAGTTCCTGCTCGTGGGCGACAGCGACGTGGGCAAGGGCGAGATCCTGGAGAGCCTGCAGGACGGCGCCTCCGAGTCCCCCTACGCCTACAGCAACGGTAAGGGGGCTGGGGGGGCCGCGGGACCCCCGCCGCTGTCACCATCCTCGTTGTCACCCCCGCCGGTGTCACCCGCACCGCTGTCACCCCCACCCCGCGGGCTGTGCCCCGTCCCCGGGGCCGTGCCCCCCGCCGGGCTGGCAGACAGGCAGGCAGGCAGGGAGGGGTTGTTTTGCTTTTTCCCTTTGTTTTTATTTTTCCTCGCGCGCGTGGCGGGCAGCGGGGAGGCCTCGGCAGCTCCTTCGAACGCCCCGGGGGTGGAGGGGGACGCGGGCAGAGGGGCCGGGCGTGATGCAATCCCTGGATGCGCAGCCGGACCCTTCCCCCGGGCAGCGCTGCCCTCCCGGTGCCCGCACGGACCGAGCCGTCCCCAGGGGAAGCGGGAGCTGTAACAAAAGAACGGGAGCCGATTCCCTGCCCGGGGCCGCTCCGGCTTCGGCGGCCGCGCTGGCAGGGCTGGGTTGGCCGATCCGCCTCCTGCCAGCGTCGAGGCTCCGGTGGAGCCCTTGACAGACCATTAACTACGGTGTCACAAGACCGTCGTTAGGAGCCAAGGAGTGGCGCGGTTTCCTGCAGTCCCGGCGGAGCTCGGCCTGGCGGGGTGCGGGTCCTGCCGGGGGGTTCAATCTGTCATCCTCTCCCCCCCATCGTGCACGGTGACCTCCCCGAGGGCTCAGACCCTGCGTCAGGAGCAGGTGGTGCTGAGTTTTGCCTGGCAGCAGGAATCCGAGGGAATCGGGAGCTCCCGAGGCTCCGCTTTGGCCGAATTCGGAGCCGCTCCTCGGAGCCACCACCGGTCCCCAGGAGCTGATGCAAACACGCACCTGCTCCACGGAGATTCACAGGCAGCTGGTGACTCAGGAGTCGGTCTGCCTGTGAAATGGGAGCAGCAGCTCTGGAGGGAGAGGGCTGTGGGATTGTTCATCTCCTCAGGTGTCTGCCTGGGCTGGTGTGGTTTACCTTCGAGGAGGTGCTGGGAGCTTTAAGAGCTTCCCTGAAGAGAGTTTGTACCTCAGCTGGGAGCTGTGGAGCTGGTCGGTGGAGTTGGGGTTTGCCAAGCAGAGTGTAACAGGGTGGTTGTTTTATGGGAAGTGTCACAGTTGGAATTGTCTCCTGATGGAACTGGGTTTGGAGCACGAGTAAGGAGTGAGTGGAGTGTGTGGTGGGGTGTCTGGTATTTACATACCCCCCAAAGAACAGGGAGTGTGGCTTTGCCTATCAAAGCTTTGTCTCGGAACCTGCTATTTTATAACAACAAAACACCAGCACCTTTTTGCTGTAAAAAGAAATCTCAGTGATCTAATGGTTTCACCCTCCGTGGGCAACTGAGACCATTCCTAATTAGAGAATTAGGTCACACACTGTTGGTTCACAGCAATATGTGCTCTGATAGTCTCTGTTGCTCCTGGGAAGCGATGCACCTTTAGCATAATCAGCTGGAGTGGCTTTGATATCCCGGTGAATTTGATGTGCTGATGCTGCTGACAAGCCCTGGCAGTGGAACTCCCTGTGTGTCTGGATGTGCTGACAGGGCACGCTGCTCCTCTGCCCTGACAGAGACCATCCCTGAGCCAAGGCTCTGGGATTTTGGGAACAGCTCATGCCTGGCCTCCTCTTTGACACGTGCCTAATGCTGCCGTAAACTGCAGCAGTTTAATGTTACATAGAGGTTCTGTTTGTAAATCTGCTTGTAAACATGTGCTCTTCCTCATCCCCTCCCAGAGCCCACATCTCAAATTAAAACGAGTGTTGTATCATCTACAACTTGTTTGGTCGGTCCAGAAAGCACAATTTGCTGGTGCTGGTGTGAAATGGAGGGTGCTTTGGGCTGC